TATAAATTATAAATAAATGTTTGTGTGTTTCGTGTAAGTGTGTGCGTGTGTTGTGTTATGCTAAATATTATAATCAAGACTTTTCATGCTTATTTGTTAACATGCTAACTAAGTCTGAATTTGTTTGTTGAACCTTGTTCTTCTGCTTATGTTCATGTGTTGCATTGTCTGTCTGTTTGCGTATTGTCGTGTTTCCAGCACATTCATCTCTATATTAGCTATGGTGCCATGCCAATTTGAGGAATATCAAACGTGTAAAAATTACTTCATCACGATATAAATCTCTCATGTTTGATACATTTCGAATATTTTAATCTAAATTCACGCACGCACAAACAAACACACACAAACCGGTTCACACACATACACAAACAAACACACATACACAGATACACATACATACTTACAAACAACCACACATATACAAACAAACAAAAACAAATAAAACACATACACGCATACAAATAAACACATACACACACACAACACACACGCACGCAAACATACACACACACGCGCAAACAAACACACAACATGTACGCGTGTGCCCTCTCAAGAAATTGGAAACAGATACCATTGAATGTGGAAAGATGAATGGATGGACGAATGAACGAAAGAACAGATGAATGAATGAAAGTAAAAAGTGGAAAAGTTAAATGCACACAAGCACCTTGCATGCACAAACGTCATGTGCCATTAGCGTTATGTGTAGATTTGCATCGTTTGTTTGTATGTTTGTATGTTTGTGTGTATATATATATATATACATGATTATTGTATATCAGTGCTTCTCAAAGTGGTGGTCCGCGGACCGGCGCCGGTCCGCGGACCAATAGCTGCCGGTCCGCGGCGAGGTTCCAAAAATTTTGAAAATTAATCAGAAAATTCATAGCTTGGACAGCAACGCAATTGCGAAAGTCATTGTTATTACTAGTAGATGAGTTTAAAGGTAAGCAAGTTCACGAATGCATATGCATGACTATAATTAATATTCAATGTGATAACGCGAAAGGACGCGTGACCAATTAACTATCGGATCCAGCTTAAATATTCAATCTTTCTTTATCAGCTATTTGCACATGTTCAGAGTAAAGTTGATAAAAACCCGGTAAAACTAGGAGTTAACAACGTTATTGCTAAATTAAAATATATTTGTAATTTTGAAATTTATATATAAATTGAATAACTCATTTTGCAATTTATTAAATTTTATTCAAATTAATATATAAAGTTGGTAGAACTGTTGTCAGGTTGGTTCAGATTTTTTTAAATATTTTTATTTTATTTTGATGTTATCAAGACCGCTAATTTGTTTTCTTGAAAGTAAAAGTTTATTTTATTCAAAAATAACTACTTTATGGCGAAACAAGGCCCGATATACAAATTTTTGAAAGGGAAACGTCAGGAAGAGAATTTGATATATGAAAGTAGTGACGATTCTTCAGTTTCAGACAATGAAAATGGCATCGTAAAGGCAATTGGTATTGAAACGTGTGCAACAAAACGTATTAGGACTAGCTTCATTCGAAAGTACGATGAATCATACATTCAATTTGGCTTCATGCCAATGGACGATGGAACAGAGTTGAAACCGCAGTGCGTTATTTGCAGCGAGGTTTTGTCGAACGAAGCAATGAAGCCGTCAAAACTAAAAAGACATTTAAATACCAAACACAAAGACATTTGCACAAAACCAAAAGAATATTTTGAGAGAAAACGCATTGATCTGAAGAGTCGCCAAAAACAAATGTTTCGTATTTCCCATATAAACACGTGTGCGCTACGAGCTTCATATAAAGTAGCTCTGCGAATTGCCAAAGCGAAAAAGGCATTCACAATTGGTGAAACGTTAATAAAAGATTGCATCAAAGATGTCTGTTTTGAGATGCTGGGTGAGCAGGCTTCAAAAAAAATAGACCAGGTGCCACTTTCAAACAGTACTATTGGTCGACGCATTAGCGATATGGCAGAAGACATTGAAGAGCAGCTAGTTAAACAAATGAAACTTGCAAAATATTATTCTTTGCAGCTGGATGAAAGCACAGATGTGGCCAATATGGCTATTTTGTTAGTTTATGTTCGTTTTGAATACGAAGGAGATTTAAAGGAGGAATTTTTCTTTTCAGCATCACTCCCAACAAATACAACAAGTTCTGAAGTATTCAAAACTGTCAGTGAATATATCATTGGTAAAGGAATAGATTTCAAATATTGTGTTGGTGTCTGTTCAGATGGTGCTGTAGCAATGACTGGACGTTATTCTGTTGTTGTAACTAAAATTAAAGCAATAGCACCGGAGTGTAAAGCAACACATTGTTGCATTCACCGAGAAAGTTTAGCAGTGAAGAAAATGTCAGATGAACTGAATAATGTGCTCAGCGAAAAAGCCCATCTGGTCAGAATTACTTATGAATATCAATTGGCTCGCAAAATTGGCTTATTTGTCAGACATATTTGCATTATTAAATGATCTCAATATTTCAATCCAAGGGAAAATGGCGACTGTTTTCACGATGGCTGATAAAATTGAAGGACAAAAAAGAAAGCTAAAATCTTGGATAAAAAGATTGGAAAAAGAATGTTTCGAAATGTTTTTTAATTTAGCTACAGTCATTGATGAAGCAGGCAAAGGATTTGACATCAAAAGTTTGAAAACATTAATCATTGAGCATCTGTCCAGCTTATCTGAACGGTTTGAATTTCATTTTCCTACGGAGGATGACCCACGAATAGGAAAGACATGGATCAGAAATCCTTTTGTTGAACATAAGGAAAATTTGACTGTTAAGTTGGAAGATAAAATTTTGGAGCTTGCTGCTGACCAAGGCCTAAAAATGAAGTTTGAAAATACATCATCTCTTTCCGCTTTCTGGATCAGCATCAAGTCGGAATACCCAGAGCTTACTGACGAAGCAATAAAAACCTTTCTTCCTTTCCCTTCTACTTATTTATGCGAAGTTGGATTTTCATGTTTGACTGCAATGGAAACAAAATACAGAAACTGTTTGGAAGTTTGTTCTCCGCTACGTGTGGCACTGTCTTCGTTTCAGCCACGTCTTGAGGAATTAATAAATAGAAAACAAGCTCATTCATCTCACTAATTTTTTACAACAATTTTTATTTTCTAATGTCGAAATATTTTTTATTGTTATTTCATTTTGAATAAAGTTTTACAAAAAAAGATTCAAATTTTGTAAAATTGATAACACTTCGCATATATATATATATATATATATATATATATATATATATATATATATATATATATATATTCCGCAAGCTGGGTGGCGGTCCGCAACGTTCCTGTTAAATTCGTTGCCGGTCCGCCGAACCAAAAAGTTCGAGAAGCACTGTTGTATATCATTAGTCTTATTAGTAACGACGAGTGATTGCTTGACTGTTTCTTTGTATGCATGTCATATGTTTGCGTGTGATTGTTTGTTTGTATATTACTGTATGTATCTTTGTATGTATGTATGTATGCATGTATGTATTTATTTGTATAATTGTTTGGATTATAAATATTTGTAGCTAAATAAAATAGCACTATTTCTGTTTTGTTGTTGATATTATGTATATTAGATGTTATTTTTAATATGCTAGCTCACTTGTTAACAATGTTATTAATTTGGTTAGATTATTTATTATTAATTGTAATTTTTTACAAATATTTTTGCTCGTTTAATTTGTTTGTATTACTAGATGAGTAAAGATTTTAAATGGCATGTGTTTGTATTGTTTCGACGATGTTCAGCCATGTTGCTTTTGGGTGTTTATCATTTTTATTTTTCTCCATATTTCCCTAATTTTTACTATTAAAATTATTATTGTTATAATTATATTTATTATTATTATTATTAATCTTTTTACGGTTGTTTAACCATTATTATTTTCCTCTCTTTGAGATGCGTTATTCAACACAAATACTCAGTGCTTCTTTCAATGTTAATTAGGTTATAGCAAGTCGAAAATATGGAATAAACCAGAGTTGTGCTACACATACAATGTATGTCGTGTTAATTGCATGGCTGGGCGACGTACGGTACCTAGTTTTAATATAATTTGTCTGGGCTGGTTTGGTTTTTTTTCGGAATAATTTACTTTTTATTATTGTTTTTTTTAATTCATCAAAACTTTTTAATTAATTTGTTTTTTTTATTTAGAATCAAATGTAATTTTTAAAAACGTAAAATTGAATCACAAACACGGCACATCAGCGGGAGTGGCAAAAAGAGGAATAATCAAAATAAAAATGGAAAAATAATAGTAATTACGAAAAATAAATATATTAAAATAGTTGAAAATAAATTTAGCAACATTACTCTATACTAAGAATTAAATCATTTAGTAATAAGCAAAATACAAAAAATAGGCGATTAAATTTTTCTCATATAAATGTTTCGATCAATCTTCCATCATTATTTTCGACATCGTCCTCTTCATCATCCCTTCTCTTGTTCTTATCATCATCTTTCCATTTGAAAAAGAGTTCTACCTCTATTTCGTAGTTTTCTTCTTTCACTAGTTCGTTCAATCCATCTTCTAATCCTAAATAATTGGATGATCATTTGAAATATATTGATAAAAATTATCCAAAAACATTAAATATGCGTGGTTTGGTTACCTATGAATACATTTTCAAGTATTATGGATGTTTTCAGTGTATGACTAAAAATGCAGTTTTAAAATTTTTTTATTAAGGCAAATTTTTGTACGGATATTGATTGTAATTAAAAAAAAAGAAGTTAGTTTCAGCTTTTTAATTTACAAAATAATCATTTAATAAAATTGTCAACACAAAATGATCGTTTTAACATTGAAATAAGCATTTAATTATATTCATTGAATAAAAATTATTTTTCTATCAATTAATAACTTCAATTGAATAGATTTAGTTTAAAGTGCGGACTTTTGAATGTAAGATCGGCTGTCAACAAAGCCCCATAGCTTAATGAAGTTAAACAAGCAAATAACTTAGATGTTTTCATCATTACGAAAACATGGGTAAAAAGGACAAACGTGGAAGAGGTCTAACACTTGTACACAACAACCTTCCCAAAGCCACCTTAATTGCTGATGGCATGAAATATCTTGGCTTCAAAAATTTTAGTTAAATTCAACACATATTCATCATCTTTCATCATCAGTTCAATCTGCAGGCCACCAGGTCACGTTTCTATAGATTTCATAATCGAATTTAGCGATCATGTCGACACCATCATCAATTTCGACATCCCATTCATTATTTGTGGTGATTTCAATGCACCGGGGCAGCTCAGAGTAATTGAACAACATCTCGATTCAACAATTGAAGCCCTTGGGCTTATTCAGCATGTCAACTAGTCCACCAATTTCCACGGTAATGACCATCACCAGTACACGTCATAAATGCGTCATTGACAACATCGGAGCCTTGTGACCTTCGATACAAAACCAATTATTGTTCGTCGGCGTCTTAGTTATCGTCGTTTTTGTTCAACTGCTTTTCAACAAGAACTTTCTGATGTATTCTACGATGTACTTCCGCGTGACGTGGACGACCTTACATCTGCTATCTTCACATCTACAACCAATCTCCTCAACAAGTATGCATCTTATAAACGTTTGTCTTTACGAGGCAGCACAAAACATCCATTTCCAATTGGTGCAATAAATGCAATTCGGACTTGCCGTCGATTGGAAAGACAGTTAGAGGGATTTTACTCAGAAATCACAAAAATTGAATACAAGTAGGCTAAAGAGATTGCTAAAACGTCCATTAAAGAAGAGCTTCACTCTAAAAGTAATCCTTGTGATCTCCGGTGATCGCTCAACAATCTCCTTCTTTCTCCTCCGGGGCTGTGCTGCTATGATCTGCCTGGATCTATCTGCGGCCTTTGACACAATTAATCATCAAATTCTCTTAAAAAAAACTAAAAATGTAGTTTGGTATCGCCGACACAGCTTTGTCCTGGTTCAATTCATATCCCTCAAACCGCCCCCAATGTATTATAATTAGCACACAAGTCTCCCCTGCTTTTGTTTATCTACCAGAGTTCCCCAAGGCTTTGTATTAGGAGTAATGTTTTTCACTATTTATACTAATCCTTAAACTGACATCTTTAGCAATTATGGCTCATCCTTCCATCACCTTTCATTAATATGCCGATGAAACAAACATAGTATCTGAAACCTCTCACCAAAATATCTCTTCTTAACTTGATAGACTTAACTCTTGCGTCTCATCATTAAAGGACTGGTATTCACTTAATTTTCTTTAGCTAAATGCCCAAAAATCTGAAATAATGTTTTTTGGAACACCACAGCAATTCACGAAATGTTTTCCACCTTCAAACGTGTCAATTGGTAGATCAAACCTGCTACATCAACCAGTCTTAAACTGCTAGGTGTTACTCTCGACCCGTCTCTAACTTTCAAAGCTCTTATTTCTGCTATCATCGAAGTATGTAATTGCATTATTTGGTCTATTCGCCACATTCGACCTTTTCTCACAGTCAAAATGGCTTCCACGCTAGCACGCTGCCTTGTTTTATCTCGCCTTGACTACTGCAACTCTGTTACATGGAATTCTGGCGTATTTAATTTATCTTTTATTAATTTAAATTTAGGAAGAGTGTAATAGACCTTTAACCTTTAGTAATTTAATAAATTCATTATTACTAATTTTAATTGAATAAATTTTTTCGTAATTATTTCAATTTTTAAAAATTTATTCGTAATAATTTTAATTGAATAGATTTATTTGTAATAATTTTAACTGAATAGATTTATTTGTAATAATTTTAATTCAACAATTTAATTTTGCCAACGTTTCACGAAGACTTCCGCCCAAGTTCTATCAATGCCCTCTTCATTCCGGGCCACGCACATGTACTGCGCCCTGTCTTCCAGCAACGAGTGATCGATCGTAAGCGTGCAGACGCCATCGTCATTGTTGAAGATTTTTATTCGGTTGTCATCATTGTTGTTGTTGTGGCCGTTGTGGTTGTTGTAACTGTTGTGGTTGCTGTTGTTGTTGTTTGGGGTTTGGTTGTGCTGTTTTATCTTTATGCCATCCTGTTGTATCATGTAGAAAGTTGTGATCAATATTTTTATAATAAAATGTGGTAGTTGTAGTAAGCGTAAAAAAATTAGAAAAGACACCAACATTGATTAACATTTACTAACAAGCGTACCATACAGAACAACAGAACCAACTTGAAACCAGAGAATCTCTGGATGAGGTCTTCCTACCACAAAACATTCCAGGTACAACACCGATCCTTCTGTCACCACTTTCGATTTTAACTTTTCCAAAAACTTTGGTCTCACAGCTGCAACGATTAAAAAATTCCCATGTATCCTATCATTATAATAGTCAATTAGCCATTTTTAACTATAATTGTTAACAACCGTTGTTAATAAATTATACAACAAATTATATTTATAATTGTGTCGCTACTTTAACAATAAAAATACACGGCACACACATTACAAATACAAATTTTTATACATTTAGTCATATTATGTCCAAAATACTTACGAGATAAGATGGACGCCTTCGCAGTTTTCTGCAACATGTCCGAATCACAGGTTTGCTTTATGTTGGAATCATCGGGAAGTTCCACTTTTGACTGGTTTGATAATTTTAGGTCATTAGAAGTTAGTGGTGATGATTTAGCGGTAGAGATTTTCTTTTTCAGAATTAATTTTATATCTGCATCAGTTTTTGGTTTTTCTTTCAGATTATTTTCACCGAGTTCAACGTCTTTCATAAGACTTTCGAAACATTCGGGGGATAATTGTTCTTTCATGTTGTTTACGTGCTCGTTATCTAGCAACACTGAACAAGAGTCATCTGGTGAACATTTTGTTCTTATGGCCGATGTGTTGAATGTTTTTGTTTCGTTGCGGTGGTCTACTGGTAGAGCCTTCCCGCGTTTGTTTTCAAGGATATGATTTTTGTTGAGAATGTCTGAACATCTATCGTTGTTATCCAACAGTTCGTTTTCAAAATCGTATTTGCTCTTTAAAAATTTATTACATGTTAAATAATTAAAACTTTCGTAGACATCATCGTCGTCGTCTTCTTCTTCGTCGTTCATAAGTGACATGTCAGTTATGGATGGATCTAGGAAATATTAATAAGAATCTAAAATAATAAAACAAATATATAAATATATATATATATATAAATGTTATTAATTGATAAAAACAGTTAAGTTTCACAAATCCAACAAAATAACTTTCACCAACTTAGAACAGTCAAGTAAGCAGTAGTGTAGCACTCTCCAAACTCATTGGACGCTTGCAAGCAGTACAACCCTTCATCTTCAGGCAGGACCTCCGTGATTGTTAAAGTGAAGACATTATTTTCGTGTTCTCTTATAATAACCTCGTGATTCGGACAAATTTCCAATCCATCAAGGAGCCATGTGACTTGAACAGGGAGGTCTGATTTGATTTGGCACGTTAGTTCAGCAGATGCTCCGTCTAATACTTGATGGTTTTGCAGGTGTGAGATTATTGTTGGGGGATTGTTTTTGAGATTAGTGAGATTTGGAGAATTTTGAAGCTTGGAAAATTGATTTGATCTGAAAGATTCCGATTGAAGAGTTCGTTTCGTTTCTTCCTCAATTATTTCATGCGAACTTTTGAAATTTGTTTCACGTTTCATCGACGCCGTTTCTTTTTGAGAACTAATTTTGTCAAAATCTTTCAGTTTATTATCACTTTTCAAAATTATAATACTAGCTTCACAATCAGTTTCTTTTTCATTCATAGCAAAACAAGCTTTGTAAACCGTCAAATCATTTTCAAAATCGATCATTTTTTCTTCGAACAACTGACATTTCATTCCGCACACATTTTTCAAATCAGAAGCCACAACAATTGGGTTGAATTCTTCAGCTGAATGAACGTAATTGAGCGTAACTTCGGAAAGAAGATTGTTTGGCAGAGAAAGCTTGGCGTAGTTCTTTTCATAAAGTGACAAAATAGAAAGTGATGAGTCGATTGAGTCGAGATCGGAGAACGACTTTTTGAAACTGGAGCCAATCGACAGATATGATATTGGATTGCTCATTTGATCAAAATAATACTTTGGAAGTGTATTTGAATTGAGGATAAATTCGGAGCAGTATGACCTAAGAGGATATGAATCGAGGGAGGAGGCGAATGACGCTTTGCGACTGCTGCGAATGGATTTGCGAGAGTCTAAACTACTGATTGATCTCGATATATTTCTTTTGTACTTTGATTGCAGAGTCTGAGGAAAAAAATATTTTTTCAAAACCTTGGTCCCTGGATCAGATGAAACAGATTTTCTACAACTTCTCAAAAACTTCAACTGATCGAGATGCAATTTGTTTTGTAGATTTAGATTTTCAGGCTTTCGTTTTGTTGATTTGTTTGTTGTAATGTAATCATCTTTTTCACATACCTCTGTTTGAGTTATTGAAGGTGCAAGGTTGACTTTGTTTTTTTGATATTCAGAATGAAGTAACATATATTTTTCTGCTTCAACGTTTTCATAGCAAGGAATATATCTGCAAATAGAAAATTGTCCATCCACTTTGAAATATATTTCCTCGTTGTGGTACAAATCGTCGTATAATGCTACGGTTTCAAATTCAATATTGATGATTTCATCTTGTTTTGAAAGAGAAATTTGTGGAACCATGCAGAAATTCAAAGCGCACCTGACCATGAGGTTGTTTTGAGTGGCAGTATTCAGATTGTATTTTGCTATAACGTTAATTTTCGGTTTCAACGTTTTAACCTGATGCTGAATTAAATGATAGATAATGTCTAAGGCATAAGTTTCTTGTGAGAAGTTGTGATAATTTTTGAGGTTGTTCAACTGAGAGCTCCTAACGTTGAGAAATTTACAAATCTGTAGCGTTACTTTATCAGTTGAATGCGATACTGGAAGTGGTTTTACTTCAAACATTGGCACATTGCGCGAGATATATGGCGTTTCAAAACGGATGCGATTAACTTTTACCGAAAAAACTTTGAAACGTTCAGAACTGATGGGCACCAACTTTTGTGAAGATGGTTTGGAAAAAATAAAAGTTTTTTCCAAGTCCTGTTTTTTAATAGTCAATTTTGCATGGTTTAATTGGGCAAAATTAAACTGAACAAAATGGAAATCGACGAGAGTTGGTTCTTTGCTACTTTCACTTGCCAGAACTTCGGGAGCGTCCAAATATAAATCATCAGTAGATTGATACTTCGTGCTATCCAACTCTTCAATTGAACAAGATTGTAACTTTTTATTCCAAGACGAGATTTTAGTTTTACTTTCACACTCAGTAATTTGCAGTTTTTTCTGACCATCTTTTAAATCAAACTTTTCAGTTGAGGAGAGTTGAAAAGCGATGCTTAATGATTTTTCACTCGATAAGAGGACATCAGAAATTTTATTGATGTCTGCATTTAAGCTTAAAACGTTTTCAGTTTCCAATCCCTCATTAAATAATTTAGAAGATTTTACTTGGGATATCTTTAAGTCACTTCCGATTGAACTTCCATTCACCTCAACATTTGAATCTTTCCACCACTCCTCCTTGATATCCAACGCCCAATCTGCTTCCGAGCATTTTTCATCCAGTGAGCAAACTGATTCCTTTGAATCTGGCACATATTCGTAAGCTATTTTAGAAAAATTTTAATATTTGTAGACGATTATCGTAATTTAAATAATTAAAATAAGTTTTTAACAAACTTAAAAAATATATAATTTTTCAAAAACTCACTTTCAACGACGAGAGAAGCGCTAATGGAGGCAGCACCAAACTTATTCTCAGCAATGCACATATAATCTCCAGCATCTTCTGGAATGATCAAACTGGCCTCACCAGTCTCTGCGTTGTAATCGGATATGATGTTTGGATAGTTTAATGATACATCTTTATCATTTCTCAACCATCTCACCGTCCCAGGAAATGATTCAGCGAGGATCTGCAGTGAAAATTTAGCTAAGCTGCCATCCAGAACTTTCTGACTTTTAAGGTCAGATGTGAATTGAGGTGATTTTGTTTTTTTATCTTTCGGTTCTGAATCTATTTGGTCCAAAATTATACCGTCACTGAGGTTGATGATATTCGTTAGTTCATCTTTAGAAAAAAAATCATGATTTGTAGCGTTGAAACTTTTTGACAAGTTCTTTTGTTTTAATCCATTAACCTTCTCTGATCTTATCAATTTCCTTCTTTCCAAGTTTCCATTTACATTAATGTCGTTTATTGCAAAAGATGTCTCACAAACTGCATCAAGTTTGTCTGAATTTTTTTCAATATCCATGCCCTCCTCTTCCTTGCTTAAATTTTTATTAAATATTTCGGTGGAAATTAAATTATTTGCATCGAAAGTCGCGGTATCATTTTCCATAGTTGTTGAATTTTTAACGTTTTTTAAATAAGCACGTCGTTTTAACTTTCTTCGCACTAACTCATTCAACGCCAGGTTAAAATAATTTTCATCATCCTCTGCTACCACCTCACTATCTATAAATCTTGATTCATCTATTGATTGTATTTCTTTCTCTGTCTCATCACAAACTGCTTGTACATTTGATTCATCTAGCAGTATTTGTTTTTTAAGATTGAGATTTAAACATTCGACATGCAGAATGTTTGCGGCTTTCTTGTTTTCTCTTTTTTCATCAGCAGATACATGGGCATTTTTTAATATCTCGCCAGTCATCAAGTCCTTAACCGAGTTAAAAATTTCATTTTTACAATCAAATTCATCTTTCCTCACATTTTCAGAGCGTTCGATTGCTTGTTCACCATTGATAATTTGTTTCATTTCATCTGGCGCTTTAGTCAAAATTTTTAGTTGGGTTGTTTTGAAGTAAGTTGTTAATTAAAGTTAAATGGTTTTTGCTTTTAAAACACACGCGCGCACATACGCACACACACACACACAAAATAAAAAACAAAAACCAGTAGTTCCAAATTTTTATTCCGTTAAAAAGTTGTAAAACGTTAATTTAATCTATCGTCGTAATAATGAGAATCTGAAAACAAACTAAAAACATTGTTAAGACTAAATGAGATTTAGTAAGCAATGTTTCGTGTGGTTGCAAGCATAAACGAATGAAACAGCAACTACTATCTATCTACTTCTGATAGACAATATCATCTTTTAAATATCTAAGCAACAAGTTAAGTCTGTAACAGCGGAGTTAACGACAAACTAAAGTGATCACATATGATGTTATAATGATGTTGACAGTGATATGCAGATATGTTTTTGATAAAATGATAAAATAATCAAACTTTATGAAAAATTCACAATAAAAGGTTTTCGTTTTTGTTGAATTTTTTAAAATAATAAATAAATAAAAAATATAAATTGTATGTTATCAACCGAAAATCGTTAAAAACTTGGAACCACTGGTGAAATATTATAGTAAACCATATAGACAAACTATAACATTTACGAAATTAATAATTGCGAAGAAAAATTAAAAACTGCAGAAAACAATTCATGACATCGTGATAAAATTTAATAATAATGAATATATAATCACTAAAGTTTATGAATGATTTGTTGAAAGATTCGCCGTTAAATTTTTAAATGAAATCTTGGGAAAAAAATAACTTGATAGGTTGTCTTACAATCGAGAAATTAATTTCCAAAATCATTTCGAAAATTAATAAAAATAAATAAAAATGGCAAAAACGTCTCGTAAACCAAATGTGTGAAAAAGAATTTTAACTAACAACTAACCGACCAACCGGCCGACTAATATGTACCATGTATTAATAAAACCAACGGAAACAAAACAAGACGATATCAATTTAGACATTCCAAAAGGTATTCACTTACGAACGACAACAGCGTTGGCGGAGCAGGTAGCCTTCCCATTCAAGTTGGAGACTTGACAGGAGTACACACCTGCGTCAAACAGCTGTGAGCATCCAAATACACGCAGACTGTACTTTCCTGTAGATTTCTCGGCAGTCACAGCGTGTCTAGAGTCAGGATAGACGACTTGTTTGTCCTTGAACCATTCAACTTTTGGTTCCGGATATCCGTGAACATGAGCCGTGAAGTTCAAAGTTTCTCCTTCGACGATGACGCACGGTTGAATTGGTTGAATGAATATCGGAGATCCATTGTTGTCGGTGCTGGCTGACTGATGCACTTGTTGCGGCTGATGTGGCTCGTGGGTTGAATCATCGTAGTATCTGGGTGAATATCTTGGTATGATGACCCCTTCAGATGCAAGTGCACTCGGCTGATTTTTGGCGGCTCCTACAACTTTCACACTCTCCGCTTTTATCATTTCTTCTGATGCATTTGTGGACGATGGTTTGTTATCACGCACGACAAACATTGTTGAAAAGTTGTGATGAGACTGATCTTGAGGTTCTACTTGAAGTTTGTTCACAGTTTCTGCCTGACCGAGGTTGTTTCTAACGACGCATTTGAAAATTCCTGCGTGGTTTGCGTTAGTGCATTGGATGAAACAATCAAACTGAAAATTCAACAAATTTGTTTTTGTTAACATTCACAGAAAAAAAATTTATAACGAACAAATTTCTAAAAAAAAAAACCTGCATCATCCGGCATGCAATCAACGATGACCAGATCACTTTTCCCGAGAGATCTGTCGTTGTTGATGGCGTAATCAGGACTGCTGTCGATGTTTCTATCATTGTGGAACCAGGAGATGCTGACGGGCTCCTGCGCTTTGTAGCAACATGAGAGGATCACCTGTGAACCGTCCTTAGCAATCACGTTTTCCAGGTGTTTGACGATCTGTGGGGCGGCAAGGAATTGTGGGTTGTGAGAGGAGGAGGAGGAAGAGGAGGGTAGAGGCGACTTGGAGAGTCTTGCACTGGATGTGCTCACTGAATAAGTTTGTTGTTGATACTGTTCTTGCTGGTTGTGCATGAATGGACTGCGAGCTCCTAGGGACGACGAATAAGAAGTGGAAGTTATTTTTATGAATTGCAAAAACGAGAGGAACAACGGCAAAATATGAAAAACCAACCTCTGATTCGAAGAGTTGCTGTACTCTCGACACTTCCATTATCATTGCTGGCCAGACATTGCACCTTGCCAGACAATCCTTCATGCACACGTTCAATCCTAAGCGAGGCAGTGTTACTCGTTTGGTGTATCTAAACAATATTGTACAATAAGATTATAATATTTGAAATTAAAAAAAATACCAATTTATTTAATGCGTAAAATGTATTGATACCTATTTTTTCAAAACCAAAACAAAAAAAACCTAACTGCTATAGCAAATGACTTCATAATTACAAAATGATACCTTAAAATTGTTATCATGTTCTGAAACTTTTCTTCCATTCAAGACCCATTCCACTTTGGACATGGGGGGCCCTGAGAAGATAACCTCAAAAGTGGCAGGCCCTCCAAGTTCAGCTTCAGAGTCAACCATGGGACGAACGATGTGAGGAGCTTGAATGAAAGGAACTGGAGATGGGGTGGCGTGCACTCTTGTTGTTATCTTGCTGGTCGGTTGGACTGTTGTAAAATTTTTCATTAAAAATTATTTTATGGTTTAAGTAAAAATTTTACATTTTGTTGCAAGGATCTGATAGGGTACAGTTATATCTTTTGAAAAAATTTGTTTCAACTTTGCAAATTAAGGATATTGATTAAATTTTATTAGAAGCATTTTGATTGATAAATGTAGCAAAGAACTAACAATTCGAAACCACCTACCTCCAACTCTCAAATGAGCGATGCAAGTCACCTCTCCTCCCTTGTTCTCGACGACGCATTTGTAAATGCCGGCATCCAATTCAGTGACGTCGTGAATATCCAAGCCGTACAAGCCGTCTGCTTCCTCAAATGTCCTGTATTTAACGTTCCAGTTGTGTGAGAGGGGAGAGTTTTCGTAGTACCACTGGTGAGTGGTGGCAGCTGGCGAGTGGATCCTGCAACGAAAGTGGGCGGTGCCTCCGTCGTTCAGCAGTTGGTCCTTCATTGGCTCAATCAGTTTCGGGGCTGCTACCGCCTCTATTGGACTCTTCATCGTACCTTCCATTTGAATTGTATTATTTAATTTATTCTCCGGGGATTTGAATTTAATTCTTCCGCTAAAATCTTGTTGTTTAAAGATTTTTTTAATAAAATCATTTTTATTTGTAACAAAATATTCGATCTCAAAGTTTCAGACCTGTGTGAACGGTTTTCAATGTAGTTTCCGATGTAGTTCTCTTTGAATGCAGAAGTTGTTGAGTTGGGGAAAAGATGAGAGATGATTGGATGGGGGCGGGGGAGGGCCTGCCAGTGCTCACGGATCTCTGCGGTCCTGGAGACACCGACTTTCTGCAAAAATTAAAAAATAATTAGTCTCTGTTTAGATAAAAACCACACAATTTGTTCAAACTTTTGCATAAATATATTAAAAAACTGTCAGCGTTACCTTACTGCAACTTTTTTATCATCTGTAAATAAAAAAGTAAATTAACGTAAATCCATGATTTAGTGTAAGTTTGATAATGTAAACTAGTGCAACTGTTAAGAATGGAATAAAAATGAATGGATACCTTCAACTGTGAGTCTGAACTTGTTGACACTTGTTCCACCTGAACTTGTAGCCACGCACTGAAACCAGGCGTTGTCATCAATCGTCACAAACGGTATGTACAATGTTGATCTGTAACCATCTCCGACTATTTTATATCTGTCCCCACTTGTTATTGGCTGATCATTTTTTTCCCAAGTTACCGTTGGCTGAGGGATCCCTTCAACATCAACGGTGAATGTTACTGGCTGACCAAGTTGGACTGTCTGGTTCGGCAGACGACAACCGAATCGTGGCGGAGCCAATGAGCGCCGTGCTGAGGTACGATTCAAAATTTGTTTAATACAAACCAAATAAGTTTAATTTTAATAATTACAATGAAATAAGACTAACGCAAGACGTTTAGAGCAACGTTGAATCTATCTTCTCCAGCTCTGTTCCTGGCGATGCACAGGTACATGCCAGCGTCCCCAAGCATGACAGCCTCAAAAATAATCGAACTGATTCCTTCTTCGTTGATGACGATCTTGTGCATGCGGTCCTCAAACACTCGCACGCCTTCTCTGAACCAATAAACATCGGGCGTGGGTCTTCCGAGGACCACACAATCAAATCGGGCTACGTGACCTTCAGGAACATTAAGGTCTGCTGGTACCTAGTACGAACAAATAGCAAAAACTAATAAATAAAATTTTAAAAATTTATCAACATGAAAAGAGTAAAATTTGTATCATTCGCACTTTTTTGAAGACGGGTCTGAAGTACTGTTCAGCCACCCCACCGATTTCTCTGGATTTAAATAATTCAGTTTCAACAGGTTCAGGTGGGGCAACATATTTGGGGAGAGGAGTCTTCACTCTGACCTTGACCTCAGCTGACGTGTATTCCTGTCCAACCTCGTTCGAAGCACTGCAGGTGTATATGCCGGCATCGTTCACGTTCACCGCAATTATGATCAATGTGGCTGTCCAGTCAGCTGGATTGAACCTTTGGGCGTGTCTTGAAGATGGTCGGATGAGGTGGCCGTTGTGATACCACGTGATCTACAAGGTCATTAAAATTTAATTTTACCTCGATGTTTTAATGATTATTAATTTTTAAATATAAGGCTTTTATAATCATTCAGGGAAGTAATTACGTGAATTAATTACATATTATTTACAATTTTTAAACGCAATATTGAATAACCAATTATAAACCTGAATAACAACTTAATAGCAAAACTCCAACTAACGATGGGCCTGGGTTGTCCCTTAACTTGGCAAGTGAGTTGCACCTCACTGCCCTCATCAGCAATCTGGTTCCTCAAATGCTCCGTGAAGTGCGGCTTCTCTTCCTTGAACGGAAAAATATTGAAGCAAATGCATTTAACTTTATGTAAAATATCGTATCCTACCGCATCGCTGAATTTGTACAGTGCCTCTTAAGAATTGACTTCAGGCGCGCTCTTAATATGGTATCTCAAAGTTTAATTATTGTTCAACGTATTATACAATATAAAAACATTTTTGTCTATCTGTTTTGTGCCATAACGTTAATTCAAAATGTGCTACAACAATAATTATGCTTAACCGTCGTAAACAAAATACCAATCTAAAAATTATTTTTGAAATTATTTACAAAGTCATGTTAGATTGACTGACCAATTTGATTGGAGGTAGAATGACTTCCAGATCCATTGTGGTAGACTTTGATACTCCGTTAACAACAATTGTGCAGATGTATCTGCCGCGAGATTCCGGCCTCACCTGCAATTGTAAAAAAAAACTTAAAAGTTGTTTATTCAACAATTTAATATCGGCCTGACAAATTGAACTCATTGTCAACTTAATTCATTCCGTCAAAATAGCATCGACATCAGTTGCTTGGATATGATCTAATATTTATAATCAAATACAACGTACATAATCTACGGAATAAAATGTTTTTTAGTTAAATGACCTTCTCAATGATGAGAATGCAGACGCCAGACTCTGGTCTGAACTCCATGCGAAGTTGGTTGCTCGGAGTCAGAAGTAGTTCGTTGTGGTACCATTCAACTCTTTCTGGTTGCAGTTCAACAGGCACGATGCATTCCAAAATAACGCGCTGATCAACGTGAGCGCTTCTGTTGTGCAGAGGCTGGCGAAATATTATCCATTTATTATTAATTTTTTTATTAATATTAAAAATATAATTCATTTACATGATACTATTTATACTATAGTATTTTAATAATAATTAAATTTGTAGATATATATTTCCATAAATGATTAGCAGATTACCTTGATGAACTTCGGAGCAACTTGAAGAGCCTTTTTGGGGGCTAGAAGAATTTTTTTTAAATTTAAAAGCACTCAATGTATGTTTTATATTATTTAAATTGTTTTAAATAATTTAAAACAATTTTTGCTTTAAACATTTTCTGCTTTATGTGCTTTCTGTTTTAACAGTAGTACCAGAAACCGCTTAATATGAAAAATCGAAATTTCAGAATGGCGAATCTAACCAGGATTTACGGTAAGGACAGTATCGGAAAATTCTTCGCCGCAGCTGTTGAAAACTTTGACACTGTACCTTCCGGAATCATCAGGAAAAGCCTCTGGGATCAACAGCGTGTGTTTGTTGCCTTCGTCGGTGATAACGAAATCCGGGGATGGTTTGATTTCAACGCTGTCCTTGAACCAGACAATCTTAGGAGCAGGCTCGCCCGACGTGAAAACAACCAACCTTACCGGGTGACCCTCGTTGGCAGTTGTTGACGGCTGTAATTTCTCCAAAAATCTTGGCTTCGTTGCCGGTACTTTGTTGAAAATTATAATTACATTTATGTACATTTGATGCAAACTTTTTCATGAATGATTGGAAAATTATTAAATTATATTTAAAATTTAAATTTTTTTGATTTATTTGTTGGATTTTAATATAATTGAAAGTAAAACTCTTGAATAAAAATTATAAAATCGTATCTTTGCAAAGAACCTTTTATGATGATGGTAGCGGTGCTCTGAACCTGGCCCAGTTTATTTTTAGCCACGCACGTGTACTCCCCGGAATCAGTCAGTTTCGGTTTCAGAATGACCAGCCTGGCTCTGCCCTCACGACAAGAAATCTCATAATTTGGACTTTCCGAAAGTTCCTCGTGGACATTTTTGTACCACGTGATTAGTGGTTCGGGCCGACCTTCCACTATCGCTTCCAAGGCTAATGGTTTGTCTGACGATTAGAGGGACGTTGCATTTTTAATCAAAATAATCTATCCAATTCATCGATAAAATAATAACAAATTTTTTTCAAAATTTTATGTGGATATATTTAAAATGTATCTAAAAAAAATTCTAAATTATTGGTTTAATTTAAATTGGTCAGCAGTTATTAATTCATCATTTGGATAAATTTAAAAAAAATCTAAATAGTTTAACCGATTTCTGAAGTTAGATCTCTCAGTCCAGCAAATATTTTTGGGGGAAGATCAGGTAGAGGGGCAGGCACTTGAGGGGGAGGAATCCTTTTTGGCTTGACCACAGGGGGAGGACCGTAACTGGACACCATGACTCTTTGTCCAGTCTTTCAAAGTTTAAATAATCAAAATAAAATTATTTGTTTTCAAACTCGTTATACGTAAAAACAACCTAACGAATTAACTGCTAACAAAAATCTAAACAACAATTCGAAATATGATAAGGAATATATAATTTAAAGGGCGGAACAAACTACAAACTTGAGGAGTCTCGGGGGGCGAATCAACTTCGCCGACGAGTTGCGAAGAGTCAACGACCACCAACAACGCTGAACACCAGGCTTTACCTGCACAGCCATGTTTCATTGAGTTCTTTGATTTGATATCAAAAATTATCATTAAACAATTTGAAGTGTCGTGTTTCAACTGCATGTAAGCTGCAATGCACAGCGGTGTAATGAGCCATGAATTCAATCAAATATAAACTTTAATGTTTCTGATGTTGATGGTGTCACATGCTTTCAAATGCTATCATATTATTTTAAGTCCTTCACAAAATTCATAACAGAGTCATATTTTTAATATTGTCAGGATTTTGTTTTACTTTCATTAGATTTTTCACATAAGAAAATGTAATTGCTGGGCGTTTATTACATTGTTCACAGAAATTTGAATGCTATTACGATATAATATAAGCCTTCCATATAATTGCCATTAATTTTTTATTCCCACATTTTTCGTCGCCGATATTTTGTAGCTACTATTGCTCTAGCACAACGCTATCATAGGTACACACGTAAGACTTTATATTTTATTATCCTCATCATCATTTCTATTACCATTATTATTATTTATTCATTTATTTATTTTATTTCATTTTATTACAATTAAATTTCTATTCATTGTATGTTTTTCGAAAAATTAAATAGTTCTCATATAAGTCCTTGATACCATCAAGCTTGTTCTCATACCTTTATCATCATTTTCCCCATCAACAACATGTCATCATCGTCATTTTCATCATCACCACCAGGGCCTACCTGCATCATTTTCAGCGATGACTGAGAATCTTCCGACATCTTCATCATACACCTGAGGTATGTGCAGTGAGTGGACATCACCAAACGTGGCTATCCTGTAGACCGTATTCGTGATCGGCTCGTTGTTGAACAGCCACTGGATCTGTTTGAGATCGGCAAAAAAAATATAAAGAGAATAATATCGATAAATGTGAAACTTTCGAAAGGTGTGCAGCCCATAACGTGCCAATAACAACTACAATGATTAAGGAAATAATTCGTCACGTTAAAACGATTGACCAACATTTAAACCCGAACGATAATAAACTAAAAAAATAAAAAACTCCAACCAGAACTGACTGACCTTAGGTTTAGGAAATCCCCCAATGACGACTTCGATTGTGCACGGTTGCCCCGGTCTGACGTGGATGTCGTGGAAGGATTTGATGATCTCCGGTGGAACGTGACCCGCTTGAACGGGAGCATCCGTCTGTACGGAATGGGACGATTCCACTAATCTGTTTTTAATTAAATTTTGTAATTAAAGTTTTCAAAAAAATGTATAGGTTTGGTAGAAATAATTTTTTTATTATGCAACCCCGACAAACGCTCACCTACATGCTTACAAATCATTCCTTACTTAATTTCAATTAAACTTTTGTACTATGTATCACTGTACTATGTATCATTGTACTATGTATCATTGTACTATGTTTCATTGTACTATGTATCACTGTACTATGTATCACTGTACTATGTATCACTGTACTATGTATCACTGTACTATGTATCACTGAACTATGTATCACTGTACTATGTATCACTGTACTATGTATCACTGAACTATGTATCACTGTACTATGTATCACTGAACTATGTATCACTGAACTATGTATCACTGTACTATGTATCACTGAACTATGTATCACTGAACTATGTATTACTGTACTATGTATCACTGTACTATGTATCACTGAACTATGTATCACTGTACTATGTATCACTGAACTATGTATCATTGTACTATGTATCACTGAACTATGTATCATTGTATTATGTATCACTGAACTATGTATCACTGTACTATGTATCACTGAACTATGTATCACTGTACTATGTATCACTGAACTATGTATCACTGAACTATGTATCACTGTACTATGTATCACTGAACTATGTATCATTGTACTATGTATCACTGAACTTATGTATCATTGTATTATGAAAACTCTATCATTTCCATTCCACAAATGAAGCCCATGAGTTTTACACAGACGGTGAGTCCGCGCGCAAAAGCAGGCGAGTGTGTGTGCTTCCATCGTCCAAACTAACTTCCACACACTCATTTAATTTGTTTTTAAATGTTAATAAATTTGATAAAAACATCAAATGCGGTGTAAAATTTATTGAATTATATTAAATGCTTAAATTAAAATTTTCATTAAATTATGAACCTCATCTTCATGGCGTGGTTTTCACTTTTTGGTTTTAACTAGAAGCGTGCCTTACATTTTGCAATTACTTGTGGTGGAAATTGAAATAAATAAATTTTTGATCTGGATAGCGTCCTTCCTTATAAGCGACATTAAAATTGTAATCTGAATGAGGCACCGGCGTTATTGGTGGCCTTGACCATGTAGTTGCCAGCGTCATGTTTGTGCAGGCAGGGTATCGTCAGTATCTGCACTTCTCTTTCAGAACTTATCTATTAAAGTATTTGATATTCAAATTTTTAATTTTTTTTATATTTAGTATTGTTGTTATAACTAACAAAATATTGAATTACATTATTTTGAAATTTTCTTTTTTAGACTTTCAAGCAGAAATTAATTAAATTCTAACTTGGAAATCTTTTGAAGTTTCAATCTGGTTCCTACCAAAAAACCATTTGATGACAGGCGTTGGATGACCTATGACCCTGCACTCAAACCTCACAAGTTCACCTTCCGTGCCCTCAATATCTTTCAAGAGTTGGGTGAATTTCGGAGGAACTTCGTCCACTTCTGCCGTTGGAGCTACTTGGACTGGGGATGCTGCAGGTGGTTCGTTAGCAGCTGATCGTTAGCACGTGTTATAATGCTACATGATTGAAATTATTTTACACAATATGATGAAATCATCTTAAAAATTTATTATTATTAAATTTAAATTATTAACATATTTTAAAAAATTAATGAAGACTGACGATGAACGCGCAATTTAGCGACGGTTGTGTCTGAACCGTGTTCGTTCTTGGCTTGGCACAAGTACACTCCAGTGTCTTCCAGGTACAACTCGTGGATCAAAAGGACACACTTGCCTGCAACAAATTTGAATCTTTGCAGTTGTTTGAGTACATGCAAACATCACATGCACAATGCTATTAAAAATTAGGACCAACCGTTGTAAATGTCGAAGGTGAAATCAAAATCTTTTGTCTGCCTGATGGGTTTGCCATTGTGGAACCACGTAATCTAAGTATTAACAAATAATAATTGACAAATACTTTTTCGAAATAAATAAAATAATTTATAATAACTTCAAATTATTACATGAATCCGGTGTCAACTTGTAACTTGACAAACCTCAGGAGTTGGGTACCCGACGACGATGCATTCGAATCTGGCTCTGTCACCCTCCTTTGCCTCTCCATCGACCAGCGGAGAAATGAATCTTGGCTTTTCTGGCGTTCTCTGCTGCAGAATTTGAGCTTTAGTTTCATGCGTTGTGAGAGCCACAAGACAGGTTGTCTGGGCCTCCCCTCCAAGATTCTTGGCCGTAACAGCGTAGGTTCCGCAATCTTCGGAGAAGATTTCTTTGATTTCCAAGGATGTCGTCGTTTCCGTTATTGTGATCTGATGGATGTTAACTATTCTTGAAATTTAATTCAATATCATTTTGTTGAATTTATTGAAAAACTTTTTTAAACGCGAAAACATTTGTTGAGCATTAAGCATTACTTATTGTAAAAAAAATCGCAGATAATAATTTTTGGAAACCTTGAACAATGCACTCGGTAATATAGGAGTATCGTTGAATGTCCACTGAATCTGAGGGGCAGGTTCTCCCCGGTAGCCACACTCCAGCTTCACACTCTTTCCCTCATCAACTGCCTGGTCCCTCAGTGGTTTGGTGAATTCTGGCTTTCTGACAGCTGGAGAATTACAATTTTGCAATTAATCTTCCTCTTATGAAAGTTTTTTAAAAAACGATCTCATAACAACAAAAACACACTGACTGAGAACGTTTAGTGAGGCTGATGTGACAACTTCACCACCTTCATTGACGGCTTTGAATTTAAACTTGGCGTTGTGAAGGTCCCTACTCAACTTCTTCACTTTCAGCGTGCAACGACCCTGAAATGATTTTGGTTGGTTGGTTGATTGTTTGCAATGTTGCCAATTTTGATTATCTTATGAACATTTCTTGAAGTTATCAAAATTTCTCAAATTGTTTATGTTTTTTAAGTTGTAGGACAATTTTTTCGATGCATTGATGCCAAATTTTGCAGAAAAGTTTGAATATAATCGAAATGTTTGCATCAAAATGACAACCTGTTCGCAGGTGATGACGTAATCGTTGCTGCTGGTGATCGGCACCTCGTCCTTGTACCACGTGATTTCAGGGAAGGGCACCCCTGTGACGTGGCAGTCGAAAATGTGGGAAGTACCCTCCGGTGCATCTGCAGACTTTAAATGTCTCAACAATTCTGGGGCCACAACTTTTGGCTGACTCGCTATGAAGAGACATTATTTCAGATGATTTTTATTTTCAAAGACCAAACAAAAATTAAAACTACTAGCCAAATCTACATTGTTTGAAAGGCACACGCACAAAATTGGTAATCATGCATATTTTGTATTCCAAATAAATTTGACGAATAAATAATATTATGTGATACATTGAACGACTGTTTGAAACATTTTCATTAATAAATGATGCACCTCACCTTTGACTTTGAGATTGGCGGACGTTCGTGCGGTGCCGGCATCTGTAGTGCACTTGCACGTGTACTGGGCGGTGTCGGCTATCAACGTCTCCTCGATCGTCATCTGACACAGTCCGTCCTTATAAGATGTTGGAAAGCCTGACGATGTCGAAATCATTTTTTTCGTATCGGATGTGATTGAGGCAAGTTTGTAAGTTGTAACAAAACTTTATAGAAAAGATGTAGATAATAAAAGATTTTAGCAATGTAACAAACCTTTAGACGGTTCGTCATCACGGAACCATTCAATGCGGGGATACAACGTATCACATTCCAATCTGCACTCAAAAGTGAACCTACAAAAGGGCACAAAATTGGCTGTCACTCACGATACATTCAAACCGACAAAAATTCATATGTTCATTTAAGGGCATTGAAACTCAAAAGTATTGGAAGCAAAATCATAATCTATATTTTTAGTGGCATTGCAGTACAACTGTCATCATTTTATATAACATGATCATCATATTAGATCACCATCATCGTCACTATTGCAATCATCATCATCATCACCATTGCAATCATCATCATCATCACCATTGCAATCATCATCATTACCACCTTTGCAATCATCATTATCATCACTACCTTTGTCCTTCAGCAAGTTCAGCATTCTGCAAAGGTTGTACGAACTTCGGTTGTTTGGGCGCCTTCTTCTCCACGACTGCTTCCACATTTGCCAGAATGTGCTGCAAATGTGTGTGCGTGTGTGTGTGCGTGTGTGCCACATATGTGTATGTACATGTGCATATGTATGTGCACATGTTCTAAATCAACTTATGAAAACTGCTGTACAAATTCAGCGACTTAGCAATACAAAATGATTATGTACCAAAATGTCTGCGTGTGCACGCGTGTATGTGTTCATGAAAGTGTGTGTGTGTGTGTGTGTGCGCATATATATGTGTGTAGGATTGTAACAAAAAATAAAATCTCTTAATTACATTTAAGGCTGCGAGGTATCGTCATAATTGTTTGCTGGCGTCATTTTTGCTGAAGTGAATCTTATTTTTCATTTTGAATTTAATTTGCAACTACAACATTTTGGAGGCAGATGTTTGAAAGTCAACGTTCAGGTCAAGTAGTTTAGTTCAATTTTTACGTATATAATTCAGCGTGAGTAACTGACTTCAGTGTTGACGAGGTTCCTTTGGAGCACCCTCAGTTCCTCAATGGCCTTGATGAATGCGTTGTACATGCCCTGGTTCTTATCCAATATGTGAGACATCTTCTCTGGTCCTAATACTGATCCTGAAATTGTAAACGGTGATGATGATGATGATAATGATGTTGGTGATGATGAAGATAACAATGATGATGAGTAACGATGATGGTGGTAGTGATGATGGTGATGATGGTGGTGGTGATAAAAAAAACATAACTAGATGCTAAAATAAAAAATGTGGGAATTATAAATGAAAAATAATTAAAACGTCTGGAAGGATTTTTGAAAGGAGTTTAAACATGAATGAACATGAACGATGAACATGAACGATGAACATGAACAATGAACAATGAACATGAACGATGAACATGAACAATGAACATGAACAATGAACATGAACGATGAACATGAACAATGAACAATGAACATGAACAATGAACATGAAAGATGAACATGAACAAACATACCGGCACAGTAAAACATTTGACTATAATAATAAATAGTGGCCGTGAAAAAAAAACCGTAAATTCTAGTACTACTACTACTAACAAGAATGATACTACTACTAGTACTAATAATAATGATAGTAGTAATAGCAGCAGCAGCAGTAGTAGTAGTAGTAGTAGTAGTAGTAGCAGTATTAGTAGTAGCAGCACCAGCAGTAGTGTAGTAGTAATAGCAGTAGTAATAGTATAGTAGTAGTAGTAGTAGAAGTAGTAGTAGCAGTAGTAGTAATAGTAGTAGTAGTAGTAGTAGAAGTAGAAATAGTAGTAGCAGTAGTTGTAGTAGTAGTAAATGTGGTAGCAATAACAAAAAACCAGAAATAATTCATTCTGTTCAGCCGGCCGAAACTGACCATAGAGATTAGTAGCCACAACCTCCATGTTCTTTAGCCTCTCGTCCTGCTGGCCACCACCCTCGCTCCTGTACTGCACGATGCACTTGATCAACGTCTCAACATCTTCCGAGGTTTTGCAGTTGGGAGCCTTTTTACTGATCGTCAGTAAGAACTGACCGGCTTCGTTTATCCATCCCTCACACTGTATTTTTTTTGTTTGCGTTTGTCTGTTTGTTTGCTCGTTTGCGTTTGTTTGTTCGTTCGTTTGTTTCCGTTTGCTTGTTTTGCTCGCGATTTTTATTTTTATATTATAAATATCGGTATCGGGTGATGCGATACAAATCTGTGCTATAGAATAAATAAACTTATCTTAATTTGTCACAAACAAATTTTCTTAAAATACGAACGCACTGAACAATGGAGATGTGAACTGAGATAAAAGTTCTGACAACCTTATCGTGCAGCTCGTAGAACGTGATGTTCTCGTCGAGTGCCAGTTTAAACTTGCTGAGGCTGTCGTAAAAATGTTTCCATTTCCTGTTCGTCTCATCGACCTCGTGTCGAATGCGGCGCGAGTCATAGTGTCCATCTTTGATCATCTTGTCGGCTGTCGCCATGAAGTCCGTCACGCGACCGCCGACCACATCTGCTAAGGACTGCAGTTGAGGACGAATATTTTGATTTGATATTTTAGGTTTATTTCAAGAAATATATATATTTGGAAATAAGACTAAAATGTAAAATATGTATCAACTTTTTTTTTATTAAATGCGCCACACGTAGCTAATTTGATTTTTTAGTTTGTTTTTAACAAGTTCATTTGAAAACTAATAAGAGTTTTGGCTGTTTGTTTAAATGAATTTTGAATATTTTTCAACTTTCACATTTGAAATTAAAAAATTCGTAATTTAAAAAAATTAACTTTTAGTTGGACGAAAGCCTGGATGATGGCTTGCACGGACGCCACAGTGTTGCCGTAACATCCTTGTCTCGCGTCCAACTGCCTCTGCATCAAGTCCAACTCGTTCTGCAGCTGAAGATGTTCAAAAATACTGTACTACAAAATTTGTTTTTCAATGAGTGTATATATGATAACATTATTATGAGAACAACACAAAAATTTCCCGAATTTATAGAGTATATCATCATCATTTCAGTCACCACCATCATCATTTCAGCAGTAGAAACCTGTTTCAAGTCAAAATAGAACTGACAGAGTAGCAGTCCCTGTTCCAACTTGTTTTTGTGGTCAGTCCAGAGTAAGTCCCATTGCGACCTCTCCAGCTCTGATTGACGCAAAATGTTTCGAATTTCATCCTTCGCTATTTCTTGAGCGTCCTGTCATATTGTTACAAATATTCAGATGGTAATGATTGACAATTATTTTCGATGAAAATAGTTTCAATAATCACCCTGGCTGTCTTGATTGTTATTGGTTATAATATCGTAGAGATGATCATTTAAATTAATATGTAACGTAATTGAGAACTGTCGCATAATCCAATCCATCTATCTAATTTTCAACGTTTCATTCAAACTTGTTGAATTACAAAAAAATTTTAAATTATTCAAAACTAAAGCTGCATCATAAATATGGAAGAAAATAAAACGATGAATTTAAAATGCACTGAGTACCGACCTGTTGCCGAACTCGGACGATGATGTCATCAGCCTCCAAACTTCTGCCCTCAAACAAGGAGGCCAACTTGTTGCGGTTGCAGTGGTGGCTTCTCAGTGCTTCCCTGGCGTCAGGTTCGTTGCTAGGCAGCTGCTCGCCTGTGTATTCCTTCTCCGTGCTGTCAATCAATGTATCCAACTGCGGATAGAATGAAAATATAATTCCGGATTGATTCATATGGAAATTATTCAAATTCTGTTATTTGGCGATTAATGTTAGTAGCATTTTTTATGAAAGTTTCAAGTTACATTTTAACGGTTTATATTTACAGAACCTAAAATATTATTTAACTTAGAACTAAGAGGAAACATTATTTTCTAACCTGATTCAAGTTTTCAAAAAATTTCTTTGCAACGTCAAGCAGATGTTTGTACTCAACAATTCGAGCCTGGAACCTGCAGTGGGCCTTGATCAACTCGTTGACGATGAAATCCCTGTTACCGTGGTTGTCTTCATACTTGGCCGACAGCAGTTCAGCAGATTTCAAGTGCTGCTCCGTCTCGTCCTGAACTTTCTGAAAACATTTTAGTGTTAATTTGTTTGTATAACTTTAATTTTACTATTGTTTTTAATAATTTATTTTTAAAAATGTTAAAAAATAGAAGCAGAGTTACTTGAATGATGTGTTTGAAATCTTCCAATCTTTTTTGATGTTGTTGAACTTCTGCTAGAGACGATCCGAGCTCTCCAGCCAACTTGGGAAAGAAATTGTCTTCCACTTTTATGATCCACTCAATTGTCTGAAATAAGCATTTTATATCACAAAATATATTCAAGAAAAATTTTCAAATAAATATAAAAAAGTAATAAACAGTGGAAGCAAATTTTGAAATCAAGTTGACCTGATGCAACACAAACCTTTCTACCATCAATCAAAAGTTGCTTCCACTTCGTCTTGGAATCTTTCAAACCTTCCACATATTTTTTCCAGCCTTTAAAATGGTTGGTTATAATGTTTTTTCTTTCTTCAAAATTAGCCAAAATTAAGCTGACTGCATTTGTCACGAATTCAACGCTCAGACTGTCTCGATTTTTTATCTAAAAAACATTACAACAAATTATTACAAATAGTTAACAAATAATTAATAATAGGAAATAATAAGTTTGAAATCTTGCAACAAATATGGAAAAGTTATCAACAAAGCAACAGGAGCACATAACACAACAGCACAAGAACCAACTTCAATGGCATCAGCAACAAACTGCTTTCCAATCTTATCGAACTCTCCGAGATCGAACGTCAACTTCTTTACGGCATTATCTCTGTGTCTGACGGTGGCGTCTGTGACGTCATCAACTGAGCTGTCTGCCACTTGACTTCTCAACTGCTCTTCTAGAAGCTGCAGCTGGGCCGAAAGCTGCATTGAGATATTTGAAACACGTTGACCAATTGAATTGCCATCAACTAACATTTAAAAGCCAGATATTACCCTCTACATAAATCGTCTTTATTATTCTAGCGTCATCATAATTATTTTTGTTAGAATCATCATCATTGTCATTTTTGTCATTATCAGTATTACGGTCGTCATCATCATCATCGTCGTCGTCATCATCATCATCACCGTTATCATCATCACCACCACCATCATCATCATCATCATCCTCACCTGTCTCTCTCTCTTCTGCAGGACAATAAACGACAGAGCCAGTTTGCTCCTTCTCTCCAGTGTTTCTCTGAAATTATCAAAATGTTTCTCCAACTTTTCACATCGCTCCACCAGTGAAGAGGCTGGCTGATTAGTGACGTCACTTTTTGGCTCCTCCCCTTCCTTCTGAGTAACAGGTTTGACCAGTTCGTTTGCCATGGTTAGCAGTTGTTTGGCTTCAGCTTGTTTGGCCTTTAAGTGCATGTAATAACTTATTATCAGTTTGTTGATATTAGTTCAGTACAATCATCATCTCCATTGTCATAAGATTCATCCTTATCTCCATCCTCATCATCACCACGTCACGAGCAGCATCAACTTACTCTGACTTCTTCGGCCAGTGATCTGTGGTGTACGAGGAACTCATTGACGTCATGAAGGTTGACAGTCAACCTGCTAAATTTGTTGACCGATGCCTGACCCACGAGAACCAACCAGGAGTTCAACTGCTCGTCGGTCATTCATTTGTTTTGTTTTGTTTCGTTTACTTTTTATGATGTTTGTTTTTGTGATAGATTTGCAGTTATGAAATCTATGCATATCTATATAACATTTATTTTATGTTAAATATATAAATATACATATGTATAAAATATAATTCAGCAGAAATTCAGCAATTAAATAAAAACAAATATTTTTCAAGATAATATTTGTTTTAAAAATAAAATAAATAAAACATTATTTGTTTTAAAAGTCAAAAAATAAAAAAATGTAAGTGGAGAATGTTTACCTTGTACAACTTGTCATCTATATTAAGTGTTGGATCCTTGCCGGCCTCATCAGCGAGTGCTTGTGGCAGGTTGGCCAATAATCTGCTCACTGAATCCTCTATGCTGTTTAACTACAAAGGTTCAGTGAATGTCATTTCATTTGTAAAAAAGAAAAAATTTAAACAGTATTTTTTGCTATTTGGATTTATATTTTTATCCAGGTAAAAATATTATGTCAGTAAAAATAGTTGTTCGCCTTAGATAGACACAATTATTAGGATGGAAATAACATTACCTAACGTTACATTATACGATTGAAAGCATTTTACATCAAAGGCAGTTACATTTTTTAAAATTTCCCAAAGTAAAAATAATTAAACAGCATCATATCATCGTATTAAATATAAAACCAAAAAATTTTAGGCGCCACCTTAGCGAGAGAAGCGGCGACACTGGCGTCATCCCTTCCAACCCTGTTGACGAGGACATGTCCGTCGTGCAGCGAAGCCACAGTGGCGTCGTAGAGACCTCGCTGCAGCTGCTTCCACCCTTCGATCCACGTACTGCCCGAAGTGGCGCTGGTCGTGTTGTCCAAACTTTCGCGGAGAAGTCTCAGGCCCTCCAACCTTCCTGTAGACTTTCGTCGTTGAGTGGGTTTCGTTGTTGTTGGGGGTTAGTTGTAGATTGGGTCTCATTATGTAGCAACAAAGTAATCAAAACTCAAAAATGAACTTAAGATTTAATCACTTTTTTATTCGTAAAACACATTAAAAATATTAAATCTGATAAATAACAATGAAGCAAACATTGTTGGCATGCTCGTAGAAGCTAGCACTCAGTCCCAAGTTCCTTCTCCTTGTATCGATTTGTGACAGAAGGTTATCAAACTTTCCTTCCAAGCTCTACGGTGAGAGGTTTAATTGTTCAAAGTGTTTTCTAATTAACACAAATTTTTTTTTTAAATTCACCAGAAATTCAGCATTCAATTTTCAAAAATTATCACCGACATTAAATTTGTAAATAAAATTTGTTAGAGATAAGAAATTTTTCTCACATGCATGCATTCCAACCTGAACAACATCCTTCAGAGCATCAATGTCTCCAGCCAGAATCGGACAAGCGCTGAAGATGAAGTCCAGGGAGCCGAGGTGATGTTTCAACTTTTGAGGGAAGGGCTGCATGGGTCGGGTAAAATGAAATCGTGATTAAGTTGGCGATGGAGATGACGGTGGTGAGTATCAAATGTAGATTTCGGAACGTGAAAACTTGAAAAATACAAAGTGCCAACATTAGCTTGTTCTTCAACTTGTTGGCATTCACGTAGCAACTTCAGAGCAGCATCGTGGGAGTTTCCTAACTCAGAATTCGATAAGAATGGAAGCCCCACGTCTTCCAGCCATTTTGTGATCTGTTGGTTTCAATGAATATGATTTACTATTGTTTATTAATTAACTTCCTACAACGATTATCAGAAAATTAATCTCGATCTATTTTTCATTGAATCACTCAACATATTAATATTTGTAAAAAAACAAAAGTTGTTAAAAAATGTAAGTTTTCAACCTTGGCAACATCTTCCTTCAGGATCATAAACTTCACGCACTGTTCCAGCTGTATCCTCCTCTGATTCCACAGCTCATCCAACCTCAACTTACGAAACCTCAAATTGATGAGAAGTTGTTCGATGTAGTAACAGCCTGATGTCGTCGCGTGTCGTTGTTGACTCCAGCCACTGCCACTGCTTGTCTCAAGGGCTGCCTTCCTGATCTTGTCCAGAAGCTGTTGACCTTCTTGCAAGGTCATCATGGAGGCCTCAAGAACAGCTGTGTAGCGAGTTATTAAGTGCTTATAAGCATCAACTTGTAAAAAATATATTGTTTGTTTTTTGGTTAATTAAAAGTTTTTGTTAAGTGAACTGTAGAATTTCAAATCGTTCAATCTTACTAAAATCACAAATAGTATCAGCCAGCACAAACATTTTTTGAGTTCCTGATGCTGTTGCAAATCCCTCCTGGCTCTTTCAACATCTTGCGAGAGAGGAACATCCACACATTTGGCCTCCACTTGTTGTAACTTTTTCAAAAACTGTTTTGCAAAATGTTTGTTAAAAAATCAAATTTATAAATTTCAGATATACAACAGCCCAAAAACGACAACGGTATGTAGCCATCAAACTGATCAAATAAGCATGAATTGCAAGGGCAAACCTGTTGTACGGAGTTGTGAAAGGAAACGCTTTGATCCAGAAGGGACTTCCTACTTTCCAGTCTCTTGAACACGTCCTCCCACGCTACTTCCACTGATTTTTTCACGTCATTGCTGCTTTGACTGACCGCGGAGAGAGCTTCCGATTTTTTAGACTGAAAATTATGTTGATAAACGAAAACCGACTACAAGAGCTCATGCGTTCAGTTAAATTTTTCAAATTCGAGTTTTCAAACGAATGGAAGATAATGTGATATGCTTCGTACTTTACATTATGTCCGAGTTTTATGCAAGAATGTTGTGCATTACAATAACATTACAAATCATATGGAAAACTTTTCTTTGTTGAAACACCTTAATTATTCAAGTTTTCATGACAGCTCAACTGTTGGACTAACTACTTACTACCAAACTGTTCTTTACCTGTTTAACGTTGAATTACTTAATGTTAGGATATGTTATTTCTCAACGATTCGTTGTGCCTATGTAAAATACTTAAAAGCGCCGTTAAACACAAAATAGCTGGCGCAAGACCATCGACCGCAGAGATAAATACATCATCATTTATTCCATGCGCTGTTTTCATGGTAATCCTGATTTAAACACATCACAAATTGAACGCATGCAACTACGCAAGTGAAGTGAGTACCGAACAAAAATGTACAAACGTTGAATTTCAATATGAGTTCGTCGTGCGTGTGTCTCAATGCTTTGGCTTCCTCGAGGCTCGAGCCAACCTCTGTGATGTCGGGGCTGGAGTGCAACACCTTCAAGGTGTACGAAACTGCAGACTGGAACGATGTAAATGACCATTCATTTGTGTGTGTGTACGTGCGTGCGTGTGTGTGTGTGTGTGGTGTGTTAGGCGTTCAATAATTTGGTGGTGGTTATTTCATCCCACAAATTATAAAAAATAATTTATTTCGTAAAAAAATAATAAAATCTTCGTAGAAAACATTCAAGCCAGTAGCGAATATTGATAAAAATATAAATGTTGCTAAATTATTCAGCATTGTTATTTGCTAGAGAACATTTGCATTTATAGAGAACTCAAAGGCAGAAAATAAATGGGAAATCAATCCAACTTGTGTAACTGAAAGTACAAGCTTCGATTTCCCGGCTTGTAGAGTGATCGTTGAGTCAGCCACTTGAGGTGTTTTCGAAACCATTTTGTTACTGAAGAAGCGATTGAATGAAATGTGGTAGGTACTTATTAATTTGCGATTGACTAATTTTACAATTAAATAATTTTAACTTGAAATAATAATTAAAACATTTTATTTATATTTTGTTAAATTTGAAATAATTTTTCTATACAAGTTCGAAGACGTAATGGTATTTGAACTTTTATATTTTATTAAGTTACGACTCAATACTGTACAGTAATCCACATTTTAATGCAAAAGAAAAAATAAAAATAAATAATTCAAATATCAAACGAGTTACAATAATTTTTTTTCTTCCAAAAATAGCACAAAACTTCAAATTTTAAAACTAATCAAACATATGGAATACTTTAAAAGTTAACATCCAACCAGGCAAAGAAAGAACAAAACTTATTATTATTTACTATTGAAATTTGTCTGCTACTATTATTATTATTATTAATATTACCAATATATTATAAATATTATTAATTGACGTTACTAATCCGCAATTCTCAAGTTACCAGAAAAAGTTAATTTTGTTGATGGCAATCAAATTAATGTTAATACTATTATATTATTGTTGTTGTTATGTTATTATTATTATTGTTGTTATTATTATTGTTGTTTTTGTTTGCCCGAGCCAGTTTTTTTTACCATAAACAAGAAGAAGGAAAGCAGGCAATCAGTCGGATTGTTGTTACGTTACACTAGGTTCTTATGCCGGCTGGTTGGTTGGTAGGTTCTAGTATATATGTAGATGTTGTTTGCATGTATGAATGTGTGTGTGTACGTATGTGTGTATGTTGTGATGTTGTGTTATATATATATATATATATATATATATATATATATATATGCGTACACAATTATAGATGCATATATGCCTACTTGTTTGTATATACGTACACTATATATTATAAATTTATATTATACCTACATACTTATATTATATATAATTATGTATGTATATATAACACATGTATTATATATATATATTCATATATATACCATAGCAAATATTATAAACAATCATCATATCATTAATCTAAAATATTGCCAGCCAATGTAATGTTTTGTATTGACTGAGTTTTTTCATTATTTTTGATAATAATAATAATAATAATATTATTATTATTATTATTATTATTATTATTATTGTTACATCCATGCAAATGTACATTTGCACGTAGGATGAATTGTTTGAAGATTGTTTGAAAAATTGAGCAGACGACTAAAATGAAGATGTTCATTGTCACTCATAAACTTATATATAAATATATATGCACGTGTGTGTCTGTCTGTCTGTGTGTGTGTTTGCGTGCGCGTGAGTTTGTCTGTGTGTACTATTGCCTATACAAAACATACATGTTTGTATACACACATATATATAATATAATTATTTGTAAAGATCATTGCGTTTTCGGCATTATTCAACTTGTAGTTGAGATTGAGATCAGAGTTGATTAATGACGAAAACGAAGTGATCTTTATAAAAAATTGTATTCATGATAGTCTAAACCCAAAATATATATACATATATATATATATATAATATGTATACACAATACATACAATACAATACACAATACATGTATATGCAAATGTTTTTCCATATTTTCCATACGACGTGTATGCGTGTTATTACAATTTATTCTAAGTTTAAAAGACTGAATCACGATTAGATATGCGTGGTATGTACTACGATACGCGCACACGCACATACATATAAACACACGCACACAGACGCATTTATATCTATATATAAATTAAACGTTTGTGTGTGTGTGTGTGTGTGTGTGTATGCGCATCCACATTTTTTTTTCATAGTAATATTTTCATCAATACAACACAAATAAGCTATATATATATATATATATATATATATATATATATATATATCACGTATATATTTATAATGTATACACATACATTATTATATCTTAAATAAACAAACTAATTAGTTAGTTAATTAATTAATTAATAACAACTAGTTATAATGATACTGTCATATCGCATCATCACATCTCATCATCTTACAGTTACCGTAAGATATGATATCTTACGGTAACTGTAATTTTTACTAACATAGGTGGATGTGAATGTGTGTGTGTGTGTGTGTGTGTGTGTGTGTGAGTGTGAGTGTGTGGTAAGGTTTGTCTAAATATAGATACTGGCGATGATCAAAAGGGAGAAATGCTTCTACTATTAATATCACACAAATTTTTACTACAATTTTTAATTTCGAACGCGTAGCTAAGTATTTAGTATTTGTTTGTTTGTTGGTTTGCTTGTTTGTTTGTTGACAATTTGTAGATACAAGTGTGTTGGAGTAGAGTTTTGAAATGATTACAATATCACAAAACGATATATGCCTACTCTTTTTGTCTACATTTTTGCATTTCACACTTACACACACACATTCGCGTACGCACATACATACCTATACATACACGTACACACCACACGCTCACAAGCATATAAATACATACACATACACACGTTCCTACATACACACATTCCGACACTCAGGCATACATACAAAAAAAATACACGGATACATATTTATTCATAATTATGCAAGCACACATACGAACGTACAAACAAACATAAAACATACTTAAAACGTACATACTAGCATATAAACATACATACAAACATACATACAAACATACATACAAACATACATACAAACATACATATAAACATACATACAAACAAATATACACAGATACGTAATTATGCAAATACACATACGAACGTACATACAAACATATAAACACACATACAAACGTACATACAAACATACGTACATCAAACATACATACAAGCGTATAACTTGCTTTATTTATATTTTTGCAGTCTGTTGTTTTGCTGCTTTCTTGAAAATATTCACGCTATTCTGTTCATCATGAACTTGTATATAAGATCTTACAACATTGGTATATATATATATTATATATATATATCACTTATATAACATATATAGCGTATATATATATATAACCATTTATATGCATATGTATGTACTATATAGGTATGTGTGCATTAAAAAACAGAAAAAAACAAGATGGAAATATGGAGAGATGGAAATGAAGAGGGTAGAGAGAGAGAAAATGAGAGAGAATGATGAAAGGTGGGAGTGAAAATTTTTATAGCGAACGTTATATCAAGAAAATCTTAATTGATTCATTTGAATTAAATGTTTGTCATATTACATAACTGGAATTATAAACGAATAGATGAATGAATGAACGAACGAACGAACGAACGAACGAACGGATGAATGAATGAATGAATGAATGAATGAATGAATGAATGAATGAATGAATGAATGAATGAATGAATGAATGAATGAATGAATAAATGAATGGATTGACATAAGAATGAACGGACGGACGATTTTTTTCAAAATATTATAGCAAAATTATAATATGCAGGTCACAGGTCATATTTTGAGCAAGCTTCGTTCGTCTCACAAGCGATTAATTTGTTGTTGTTGTTGTTGCTCTTTCTAGGAGTCGGACGAGGGTTCCAGGCGAGGTGTGAGCCAGTTTGCCACCGCGATCGGGTTTCTCCACAGATCTATTGGATTGAGGACAGTGGGATTCTGTGGACAGCTGAACAGATGTGACACATCGTCCGGATGTGTTTGGCAGAAAGGACAGATGGCGATTAATTTGTTGTTGTGGTTGTTGTGTTAATTCTATGGTTTGTTGCGTTTAATTTTGATTTGACGACAGCTAGTTTATGATGAAATTCGTTTTCTTTCCAGGTGTTGATGATATGGAGTTTTTGAGGTTCTCACAATTGATGCGATATCTCTTAAAAAAATAAAAGTTGGCAAAGCTGGTGATGTCATTAATTTGTTATTAATGTCACTGGTTTGTTGTTGACTTAATTGGTTTATTATGATGTCATTTATATCGAGACGCTTGTTCATTAATTTGCTCGATTAAACAGAACATTTGTTCTGCATAGTTTAACATTACTATTTGGTATATTAGTATTTATATATTCTTATTATTAGGTTTGTTCTTGTTGTTATAAAAATAATAATAATAAAATTATTATTATTATTAATGTGGTTGATGTTGTTGTTTAATGCCATTAATGTTGTTATTGTTACGTTACGTTCCCGTCAACATCGTTGTTGTTCTTCTTATTAGTTGAATTAATAGGACTTTTCATATTATTCCTATAGTTATTATTATTATTGTTGACGCTGTTGTTTGTGTTATCAATGTTGTTGTTTGGAGCTACTAAATATGGTTTTTTGTTGATGTTGTTTTGAGGAATTGTTGTTGTTGTTGGGGGCTGGCTGCCCTGAGATGCCGGTGGGGTCCTCCTCAGGCCCTTCAACGTCCACACCCTCAGCGTGCCATCCGTAGATCCGGTGAACAATCTACTTTCCACAAACTGTTGACGACGACGAAATAATATTTTGAAAGTTTAAAAAATACTGGTGTCATTTTTATCAAAACAATTAAAATTACAAAAATAATTACAATAACAATTAAAATAATTACAATTAAAGTTACAATAAATAATTACACTGAATAGTAATAATAATAATAATAATGAGTAAAAATAATCGCAGTAGTAGTAGAAATAGTTGTAGTAGCAACCGAAGCGCCAATAAAAATAATTGCTGCAACAGTAGTAGCAGCAGTAGCAGTAGTAACATGGTTATTATTAGTGACAAAAGGAACCTGCATAGAATTGATGGACGTGTGTGGTGGACCTCTGAAGGCCCTCCTCAACTCGCCTGTCTTCGAGTCAAAGCACAACACACTCCCATCGCTGCTGCCAGTAAACACTTTTTGTGAAAAATTTTTTTAACATAAATATTAACTAAAATTTTGTAAAAACTAAATGATTTTCCAACATTATGAAAATTGTTTCGTTAATAACATAAAGGTTACTATCATCTGCTGGCAAGATTTTTTGGTTCTTTATAACGCAATTTGGATTTAGAGAAGCACAAAGCTATCTAAATATCCTTCCTTATAGAATTCCAATAAAACTTAATTCTGCCCACCCATCCCTTCGTAGAACTTGATACAGAAGATGGTATTTGAGTGGCCGGTGAAGAGGACAGGGTCCTTACTACCCCAATCTATCGTCCAACCCCTGGCCGTCTGGTCAGAACTGCCCGTGAAGATGGTTCTGTTGACAATCTGATGGTGATGTGAGTGAGTGAGTGAGTGAGTGAGTCAGTCAGTCAGTAAATGAGTGAGTGAGTGAGTGAGTGAGTGAGTGAGTGAGTGAGTGAGTGAGTGAGTGAGTGAGTGAGTGAGTGAGTGAGTGAGTGAGTGAGTGAGTGAGTGAGTGAGTGAGTGAGTGAGTGATTCGGCAAGAACTTTTTTATATTATAGCGCCGGTGATGAATAAATTGGGAAACAGGACTATTAACGCTGACGAAAAAACAATGATGACATTGTTAGAAAGAATCAATAAAAATGATAGTGGCATGGTGATGACAATGGTGGTGACACGAAATAATTATGGGGTAATAAATTATCTTTGGCATGGAAAGAATGGAATTAATATTCGTACCATTTCCGTTGATGATGTACAATTGGTGTTGTTTATAATAATACGAAGTATAATGTTCCACAATGGAAATGGCTCGCCAAAACAAAGTGGATACAAATATCATTGTTAAACATCATGTCATCAAACCAGTGACACACACACACACACTCACACACACACACACACACACACACACACATACACACACAAACATGGATATCTAGTTCTCACATGCATACATTTATTCAGCCACGTGTGTTTACAAGTAAGTGGCAATAATACACACACGCATACATACTACCACACGAATGTACACATAACACATAGTACGCACACGCACATACGTACACATACACTCTAAACCACACAGACCGTCATGCAGATGATTCCGCCTGTATGTCCTTCATAAATCTTCAAACATTCGCCACTTTCCATCTTCCAACTCCTGACAGTTCCATCAGTGGAGCAGGTGAACAGTATCTTGGCCTCCACATCTGTCGATATGGATGTCACTATACCGGAGTGACCCGTGAACACTCGCAACGTTTGACCGGTTTCGAATGACCATGATCTTTTTCGAAGTAAGTTTGTTTAATTGAAATTAACAGAATTTATCTAGAAAAATTTTAACAATGGCAATTTTAATTAAATTTTATTTAAATGGCAATTAACAATTTTAAAACATTATAGCAATGGCAAAATTATTTCAATTATATAATCTGATCATGATAATCCAAATATAATATCAATCGCAGTGAGCAAACTTGTTAAATGAATCGAATGGATAACGTTTAAAATACATTCATAAACCTGCTAGCTCTTCCTCAAAATTTTCACCTACGCAGCAGTCAATGCGAAAAATTTGAACCATGAAACAGCAGAGGTCACCTGGCGGTCTGATCAGTGGATCCGCTTATGATGATATCCTTGATCTTTGAACTTTTCGGCATTTCATTTGGATTCAGTTGAATGAAGTCAGTTTCAAGGTCGGCGTCTTCAGCTGGTACGAAGATGAGTGGAAAGACGCAATTCGTGTGGCCGGTGAACTCCCTGATGCAATCGCCTGTGTCGAAGTCCCAGCAACGGATGCTCCTGTCGTTCGAACTGCTAAATAAGAAGTCTCCTGTGCAGACAATGCGGTTAATCCGACCTGTGTGTGTGAGTGTGAATGTGTGTGTTTGTTTGTGTGTGTGCATGAAAGTGGCGTGTTTTTAAATAAATACGTTATCGACTTTAGCGTTTAAATTTATATTTCAACTTTTCAACATAATTAGCGTTGAACATAAATTGCTTTTTTCATTAATTCAAACTTTAAAAACTTCAGCAGCGGTAAAACTTGAGCTAGCCACGCAACAAACATCAAACATCAGACAGAAGAAATTGTAAGTGACCTGTGTGCCCCTGGAAGACGAGCATGCAATCAGACACTGACATGTCCCACTTCCTCAACGTGTTGTCGGCACTTCCACTGACCACAAAGACCTCCTCGATGACCACCGATGATATGTACTTCTCGTGTCCAGTCAAAATTCCAATGCACTCACAACGCTTCGTTTTTGTCGTCCACACTCTTATCGACCTGTCCTCGCTACCTGTTGGCGAAGACAATCTTTGCAATGCCAATCAACTTTAGCAGCAGCAATCATAATTACAATAATATTAATCAAAAAGAAAAAAAAACATAATAATAAACAAACATATCAAAAATAAAATTTTGTATAAACTTTGAAGTGAATCATCGCACAACAAACCAGTGACAAGAATTGAACTGTCCTCACTGAGGGTCATGCAGTTGACACCCCCTCCATGCTCCTTCACGGCATCCAGCATGAACGTCCGTACGTTGCTCGTTGTGGGAGCCATCTTCGAACCTGAAGCCCCTCCCATTGAAAAATGTTGCTGGTGTCGGGCCTACCTCCGGGTTTACCTTCTTTTTAGTTGGAGAAATTAGCTTTGCAAATTATTTTTAGTTGTTTTCCGAGTTATTTCATCGTTTTCCGTGAGTAATCTGCTAAACTTTAAAGAACGCCGTCATGGTTTGACGTAAACTTATCACACATGATTCTGGGTTTTACACATGATTCTGGGTCTATTCGTTAAAAGCGGCATTTAGTTACAAATAAATGATACAACTTCCAAAAAAATTTCATTTGATAATTACCACCACTCTTGTATAAGTTTAACTAACATATAAAAGGATTATAAGCAGGTTTCCAATCGATCAGACAATGAAAGGTAACTGACGATGTCTACCTAGCTACTGTAATTAGAACATCAATTGGAAGATAATTATGTAAACATAAAATTCTTATCTTCACATATATGTATATATGTATTTATGTTTATATACATGATAATATAAATACCATATATTATATACATGAAATATATAAATACATTATAAAAATAAGATTATATATGGAACATTGGGTAAGATAAAAAAAACATTTAAGAGTTAGAGTCTATTTTTATAAATAAATATATATATATATATATATATATAATTTGTAATGATACGTTAGATCAAAAGACTATATTGTATACTATACAGATTGTAGAATGATAGTAAAAAACTGACATACGACAATTTAAAATCAACATGTATATGTATGTATGTATTTGTAGATTTGTATGTAGGTCTGTATGTAGGTATTCATGTATGTGGGTGATACAATATGGAGCACGCTACATTCGTTCAGTAAACAAAACGGCGAACATTCACATGTTCACGTCAAATGCTGTTTACATAGATACGCCTGGCAACCATCGATGAAATAATTTTTAAAAAATATACTTGAGTGAGAACAGTAGAGAAAGTGCTGTTATCAAAGGGGATCTCTATTATAAACACAAAAGCAGGCTGGCAGTTTGGTAGGTAGGTAGGTAAGTAGGTAGGTAGATAGGTAGGCATTAAGAAGAGAGGTAGGCAGGTGAGCAAGCAGGTAGGTAGGTCGGTTAAGTAGGTAGGAATGTGGCGCAACGCTCACAGATGTGGTTGTTTTTGTGGTTGTATGGCGATGATCAACAGGTGAGGGTGCCACAATACTACGTCATGCTAGGAATTTATTTAGGTATTTATTTGTTGGTTTGTTCATATTTCAAACCCTCATGTCGCGCGTGGTTATCTGTATGTGTATGTTTTCAACACTGAAAAACCCATTGTTTTATCAGGAAAAACACCGTGTTATGTCTAAATTTGGCCATTGACGTGACACGCAAAAAAGGTAACCAGCGCATATGTTGGCCTCCGTCAAAATTTAAACATTTTCAATATTTTGGCCCCTCTCTGACAAAGTTGTCTCGATTCGCCACTGCCGAATCCTGCTCCATTGCAGTACATACCAAATACAGAAGAATTGAAAAACATAACTTAAAAGCGGATCAACTCCAAATTCAGGTAGCGCCATATTATTTCAAATGAAACGAAGCCCCTGAAAAATTCTTTTATGTTTGGGTGGCATTTTAATGAAAAAAAAACTTCATAGCGATTCTTTTGAATAAAAAATTAGCGATCGTTATTACACGAAGTGTGTCGGTCCCGTCAACATGCACTAGAGTATATGAATTAAAAGTTTGTGTTATACACACAACACACACACAACACTCACACAAAAACACACACCCACACACACACATATATATATATGTACATATCTTATATATAAAGTGTGTGCGTGTATGTGTGTCTATCAGAGTGTGTGTGTGTTTTAGTTAAGAACCTCCTGCAGACCATGTAAAAGAATTTAAGACCCTTTTAATGGTAAAATTATATGTGAGATAGTTGAACAACCACGGATATATTAAGAATGTTAAAAATGATAAAAAAAAGAAGCATTAGAAATTCATACCACCTCGATCCTTTAAAACCTAATCATAACTAGTAATTCATTCGAAATTAAAAATCTGACAAATCTAAATGACAAATTTGCACAGCTTTGCTTGTTTTTCTCTGGTTCTGGAAAAATTAACGACGAAATATCGCTAATGTGTTTTCCATTTGGTTTTACTAAATTGAATTAATTGACGGATATAAATTACAACACGCACACACTCACACACGCACGCACACATATATTTAAATAAACCGATATTTATTCTTTTATTTATTAATTATCATATAAAAAGAAAAAACAGTGAGCCATGAAAAAAATCTTTTTTTTTGGCTAAAAAACATTGTTGAGTAATAAGAATTATACACGTCAAATATAAATGAATGAACACAACGTCAATTAAGAGCTATCATTATTTCATTAGCCCCATCCTGTATGTAACCATTTGAAACCATTCTCTACAACAAATTCATAAAAGTTATGATAACGATGGTGGTGGACCGATTTATATATATATATTATTATTATCAGATTATTTATATATAAAGCGCCCTTTATTATTATCAAAGGCGCTAACAATGTAAAAGTTGATTAAATGCGCTAATGCAAAAGTTGATATATATATATATATATATATATATATATATATATATATTCATGATTATATCCCATATATATATATATCAACTATATATATTCATGATTATATCCCATATATATATATATATATATCAACTATATGTGCAATATTTGATAGAATCTACCAAATTTTCACCTTTTGAAATCTTGAAGTTGAGCTTTTCAATATTTCTAACAGTAATTTTATAATTGCTATCATTATAATTATAATGATTTTCTTATTAATTTTAATAAATTGAATAATAGTTATAAAATTATTGTTAGAAATATCGAAAAGCTCAGCCATAAACTTTCAAGAATTAAAAAACTCGGTAGGTTATATCAAATATTGCATCAATGATGGTCTCCTCTTTCCAGTCTACACACATACACACACACACACACACACACACACACACACACACACACACCACACACATACATACATATATATATATATATATATATATATATATATATATATATATATATATATATATATTATAAAATATCAACTCAACACTGTTAAAAAAATTATTTATCCATCAAACAATCATGTGTGCATTAATTCTTATGTAATTCTATTCATTCATCAACTCATTATTCATCTGTCCCTTCATCCATCAATCCATCTTCCATCCATATCCCTTCATCCATCTATCCATCTTCCATCCATATATCTATCCATTTATTCCTTCATTCGTCAGCTTGTCTGATCTCAATTGTATGCAAATTACGATAGATTGCACTAATAAAAGACGAGTTAAGCAATAATTATATAATAAATAATCATAATTATTTATTATTATTATTACAATATAATAAAGTACACAAAGAAAGTATAATGCACAAAAATGTTTAAAATGGTTACAAAGCAGTGTTCATGTCATATTTTTCGTTTATTTATTTTGCAATGTTCATGATTAAGAGATTGAGATTGTATCACTCCTCCAAAAAAAATAAACAAATAAATAAACATAAATAAATATTGTATAGAGATATTGGATTAAGACTGTCAGAAATGCAATTATTGATGAAAATCACAGCATTTTCCGCGCTAATTAGCTTCCTGTTTAATTTTTCAATTTTTCTAACGGTAGATCGTTAATCAATGTCAAGTTTCTTGAGTTCAAAACCAAAATTTTTATTTATTTTAAGCATGATAGAACAATAAAGCGTCATAGAACAGAAAAGCTTTTTTCGGTACTCTAATACCATCATCGGTGTTCGAATTGGTACGTTGTGTATGTGACCAAATAATGTTCTATCATGCTTAAATGTTCTATCACGCTTAAATGAAAATTTCGGTTTTGAACTCAAGAAACTTGACAATGATTTACGATCTACCGTTCGAAAAATGGAAAAATTAAACAGGAAGCTACCCAACGCGGAAAATCTGTGATTTTCATCAATAATTGCATATATATATATACAGATACACATATGTATAACTATAAAAGGAAAGGAATGTTTATAGTTCTTTATAAACTTATTAATTGAATAATCTCAGAAAGAATTTAATAGTTTGGCATATAACAATACAGATTATAAATTCAATATAACTCATCATGTTATTATCAACCAATCAATCAATAGATCGATCTATAGATCGATCAATCAATAGATCAATCAATCGATCAATCGATCAATCGATCGATCAATCAATCAATCAATCAATCAATCAATCAATCAATCAATCAATCAATCAATCAATCAATCAATCAATCAATCAATCAATCAATCAATCAATCAATCAATCAATCAATCAATCAATCAATCAATCAATCAATCAATCAAACAATCAACCAACCAATTAATTAATCAATCAATCGATCAGTCAATCAAACAGTCAATCAATAAACCAATCAATCAACCAACCAACCAATCAATCAATCGATAACTCATTTCTTTAAACATTAAAAAAATATTACAAAACAAAAGATAATTCCTCTTTAAAAATGAATTTATTCTCTGAAACAAAGTCAAACTACAGATTATCAAATAAAATATAAAACTATTAATAGTCTTTGACTTTCAACAATAAAGGACCTCCGTTAAAATTGTCGACAAAAAATGTATAAAAAAGGTGTTCATTAAAATAAAAAAACACACACACAAATATAGCTTAGCGTGTATATTATATATCAGGGTTGTTAATACCGAAATATGGTCATCGCCGAGTACCGACTATCAAACTTGATACCGTCGATAATTATCAGACAGAAAAAATCGATGCCAGACACCGATACTTTTTAGTTTCAACTGAATAGATTCTGCATCAAAGATCGTTACCATTTTTAAAGTTAAGCCCATAAAATTCGAGGTTTGAAATGAAGTTTTGCTGTATTTTGCATGTTTGTGTTTAAAAACTTGTTCTGTCATCGTTGTCCTTGTCACCTTGAAACGTTTTCGTTCTTTTAAATGGTTCAAAAAACTAAAAGAACTGTTTTTATTAACAAATTTTTCAACTTTTAAAAAGCAGTTAATTTATTAAATAAAAATAAATTACTTGCTCTACCATAAAATAATTTTATTTCTTTGCAATAAGTTTATGAAAAAGATGACAAATTATTTCTCTTTTAATTTTGAAAATAGTTAGAAACCCTCGCTAGCTACTTCGTTGCCTGGTGGCCTCTAGACATCAGAAACCAAACCTAGATACAAACATTCATTTAAGTTTCTTCTAAATCTCATGATCCAAACAATTAACGGTCAGGCAATCATTTTAATCTTTTTACATTAACTGCAGAATGCATTGTTATGAAAAAGATAGTTGAGCTAAAAAAATAATAGCTACGCTTTTTATATAGGACAGTTTAAAAAAGCAAAAATATCAATATTGGTATCGGCAATACAATTCTAAATCTGTATCGATATTGGCGATGCATTATTTAATATTATCATTACCAACAACTTTGATACACGCGTTTAAAAATTACAATAAATTGAAAACCTGACTGATATGGAGTAAGATGATAATGTGATAATAAAAACAATAAAAATATCAATAATAATAAGAATAATATGGACGTTAAGCATGTAAAACGAACAAAATTTTATCCATTTACACTTGTCATACAATTAGATACAAAAAATACTACCTTAAAATACATTTAAATACCTCAACCTACTCTAAAATACCATATTTTCGTAATTGTACACTTATACTACTGTACAACAAATGATGTATAGTAAAGGAGGATATATATATATATATATATATATATATATACCGACATAAGTATCATTAATAAGACTGTAGTACAAACAAATAGACAAGTATCATTGTATTGCATTGTATCGTTTGTACATGCAGTTGTATCATAAGCGCGTACAACAAAATAAGAATACACAATATAACAATAATAATGATAATTAAAATAACAACAGCCAAAAATAATAATAACAATAATAATAACAAATAATAATTATAATGACGACGATGAAATAATTATATTATGATTGATTGATATTATGAGATCTAGTAAATTATTATCATTATTGTTGTCAAAACAAAGATAGCAATCAATAGCAAGTGATGATTACGAGTTGATAGATGTTTGGTATCGGTGAACGCACTACGTGTATAAGTATTCAATTATATGGGAAATTATGAATGAATAATAAATAAACCAACACACCACACACACACACGCACACATACACACACACACATACACACACACGCACGCACGCACACGCACACGCACGCACGCACATACGCACATATATAAATGCATTTATCATAATAATAATTATGAATAAAAGGCTAGCGAATGAAAGGAGAAATAGAGTAAATATTATTAATTATTAATAATTAGTTAGTTAAAAGTTTGTGCATTCTGTAATGCATTGTAATGCACAAAGAATGCACTGTAAGTTAATGTTATGTAAATATGCATGTCGAAATATTACATTAATGTAAAGATGGTTATATTATGTGTGTAAGACCTATTTATTATTTTGTTTCTGTCCGGAGAATGTCATAAAATTTTACAGAAAGATACGTGGACATTACGAAGCATAAATTCTATCGGGCTTTAAGTGCGTTCTTATTTAAATATTTTATATATATATAATTGGTTAATTAATTAATCAATTAATCGATCAACTAATTAATCGATTAATTGGTTAATTAATTAATCAGTTAATTTCAGTTTCCTCACATTTGTTGCCATCGAGTTTGAACTTGACATGATTCTTTACCCTTGGGGCACTTTTTACTTGTTGAACAGGTCGGCTCAATATACTCTCGCTGTTAATGTTATTGCAGTTAGACGTTGACGGCTGTTGCTGAAGTGGTCGCTGCAGTAACTGTCTTTGTGGTTGTTGCGGTTGTTGTTGATGAACAGGTCTGCTTATTATGTTTTCAGTATTGATATTATTATTAATGTTACTATTGCAATTGGATTTGGATATCATATGTTGTTGTTTTTGTTGTGGTTGTTGTTGCTGCTGTCGTTGTGGTTTTTGTCGATGTTGTCGTTGAAGTTGCTGCAGCTGTAGTTGTGATGGGGGCGGAGGTAGTTGTGATGGTAGCGGTAGCTGTGGCGGTAGTTGCGGTAATAATTGTGGTGGTTGTTGGAATTGTTGATTTTGCTGAACAGGTCGGCTCATTATGCTTTCATTATTATTACTGTTCTCAGATGTTACTCGTTGTTGTTGTTGGAGGTGGTGTTGTTGGAGTTGTTGATCTGATTGTGGTTGTTGTTGAAACAGTTGATCTGGATAGGAGGTTGTTGTATCACAAAATTCTTGTTGAAGCTTGTTCTGTTGTTGTTGTTGGTGCTGCTGCAGCTGTTGATCTTGTTGTTGTTGCAGCTGTTGTTGTTGCTGTTGCTGAAACATGAGGACCAACAAATTTCTGGCACGAGCCGTGTTGATCTTCTCGTTGTCAGTAACGTGCAACAGTTGTTTGGTAATCTGGAGGGACTTTTCGAATTTTAACTTCTCCAGTCTGCCCGTCATTCGCTTCCTTCGCTCTCTCGCTCTCGTCGATTCCTTCAATATGTCATTGATTGGATGAATGAAAAAATGAATGAATGAATGAATGAACAAATATTATGACGACACGAACAACAACATCAACATTGATGGCGCGATTGTATGATGGTTAATGTGCTTGGCAATGCTGTAGCAGTGGCTGGGTTCAAATGCAAAGAGATTCCCGCCGTGTGTGGATACCTCGGAAAAATATTGAGGAGAGAACCGTGAAAAAAAATCCACACTAACCTCAACTTTCACAGCTCTGTATTCGTGATCTGGCTGTAAGGACCTGATGGCTGTTAACACGGACTGTTTAATCGTCTGCAGTTGCAGTAGTTTACCATCCAATGGAGACGATGACGACGATAATGACGACGTCGGTGATGATGACGATGGTAGTTGATGTGACGATGAGAAGGTGAAGGTCTTCGGAGAGAGTGGACGTCTTTTGTCTTGGATAGATGCCAATCTGGATGCAGAGGAAGATGATGGGATGATGAAATTGAAGATGAAGAGAATAGGATGATGAGGATAAGGGTGATGAAGATAGTGAATGTGTGATGACAGGTCTCGAGGAAAAGAATGATGACGTTAAAAAATGGCGGTAATGGTGATGAAGAAAACGACGATTAAGTATGATGGCGAAGATAATGAAGGTAAAAGTGCTAATTATATAAAGCTCTTTTATGCCAAAACATTTTTGAACAAACTCAATCAACAAAAAAAAACCATCAATTTTAAACTTAAAATTAGAGAATTAATGAGATGATGAGGATGATGAGGAAGAAGAAGAATATGACGATGATGAAGATGACGAGAAGATGACGACGATGATGAAGATGACGAGATGACGACTACAATGATGAAAATGACGAGACGATGACGTCGATGATAAAGATGACGAGATGACGACGACGATGATGAAGATGAAAAGAGTGACAACGATAAACAAGCATATGGGAATACTTTTTAAGGGTAAGAAGCGTTCCAAGTAACTTTTTCGTCTGTTTCAAACCTTTCTCTAATCTAGAAGGTTCCTCTAACACGAATCTAGGTTCAATAACACACGCTCATTTCAATTAATTTGATACAAAAAATCAGGCAAACATACAGCTATTAAACAACAACCAACCAGCCAGCTAGTGAATAAATTAATCAACCAACCAACCAAATATCTAGCGAACCAACAATCCAGCCAATCAATCAACCAACTAGCCAACCAACCAACCAACAATTCAGTCAATCAATCAATCAATCAACTAACTTTTCATCGACGCCAATCATCTCCATCTCATCCGACATCAACCTCTTCGATTCTTCTGCTAAGACGGGCAGTTCATCTGAAATAAAAAATTAAATAAAATAAATTTTACTTTTTAGTTATTGAAAAAAATTTTCTAGAAAAGAATGAATATGTGATAGAAAAAAATTTTATTAAGAAATGAAAAACTGAATGGGAATGGATGATGTTATGTGATTTCATTCGAAAAAAGGAACGTTTTTAAGAAGAAAATATATAATATAAAAATACTGGACGACTTTGTTGAAAGAAAATGAATGGAGAATAAAATTTTCAACTAAAATTTTTTCAATAGTAACGGAACAGGTTTTTAGTGCTAGTAAAATTGAAAATTAAAGCTCATTAAATTAATGTCAAAAATGAAATGTCAAAATTTTCATGAGTTTTAAAAATGCTGTAAAGATGCATGCAGTCAACCAACTTTTCAATTTGGCGAGTGATCTGCTCAGCTGGCTCAGCCAGATGGCCAGCTCTTCAACTTCGCTGACGTTAACACGGCATCGCCGACTGACAACGTCGAGTCGAATCTCCCCTACAAGGCAGTCCAAGTCCCTGAACAATCAAAAAATTTAAAAACATGACATGTCTGTGCGTGCGTACGTGATGTAGTTGTTAACATCACACTCTGAGTAAGGCAGCAACCATTCCATCACTAATACACGTGGAAATGAATAATAATCAGCTGATCGTAAACTTCAACCCATCTATCAGACATAATATTAATTAACTAAATTCTTCTGGCCTGTCATCAACTATAGTACTGACCAACCATAAATCTCAACCACCAACCAACCAATAAACTACAAAACCGACCAACTAATACTTTCATTCACCTACCAACCAATCAAACCACACAATCAACCGACCAATAAAATCCTTCAATCCACCAACTAGCCAATCAGCTGCCCGATCAATCGACCAATCACAAACCAACCTCAACACATTGATTGTCTGAATAGATTCTTGTTTGTACTTCTGCAGCCACAAACCAACACTTGAGTAATCTAGACATTTGCTGCTACTGTTGTTGTTGGTCAATATGAAGCACCCGGTTGAAGAGCTCTGAAGTAACGTGTGTTTTTTGTGTTTATGTGTGTTTGCATGTATGTGTTTCTGTTTGTCTGTGTGTTTGTATATATGTATGTCGGTATACATATGTATACACATGTATATTTATCTACATACATATGTACATATGTATGTAGATAAATATAATATATGTATATTATTTATGTACCAATGTATGCTGATGTGAAAGTTAAATAAAAAAAACAATGTGAATGATGGATGGCCTATGTTAAAATTTTGACAGGTTCGATTACGATTTCTGGTTTATGTATTAAATATCATTGTCAATTGCCGTGAATAACAGCATTACAACATCAACATCATCAATAACACCAACAACATCATCAAGAATAGCATCAATAACAACATCAACAACACCAACATGAAACATCATCAAACACATCAACAGGCTCATCAAGAGCCCACACATTTAAAATGAAGAGATGACATTATTCATCATAAATAATGAACCCAATTTTTTAAACGCGGAAATTATGTAGGCCAGGCAGGATGCATTGAAATCACACACAGCAACAGACATCAATCACATAAACGTACATCATCATCGTCATAATCATCGTCGTCCTAGTCAGCCAGCATACACCATCACGATCATCGTCACCATCATCATCAGTCATGACGGTCATCCGTTATAGGTAAGATAATTATCACCTTTATCATCATATGTCATATACCATAGAGATCATAATGCCATGTTGTCGTCATCATCATTCAGATATAAATGAAATCTCATTCAAGCAGCATATATCATCATCGACAGCCTATGTAAACAACTATTATACATAGCGTACCGTTATTATCATCATCGTCGTCGTCGTCATCATCACGGACATTAATAAGCATCATCAAATCAAAAATCCATTAACATCTGTGTGAACATCAAGTTGCACATTAAATTAAAGAAATACACAAATAAAAATAATTAAACACACATAAACATTTGCACGAAGGCACAAAAACAAAAAGAGAAACAACCATAATCAAACACAAATTTAGGCAAACATGCATGCAAACAAAGCTTCAAATATGTTAAAAATGGTTTACATACAACACATACAACCAAATAGCAACAAAAAGTACATACACATACACACAATACAAAAGACTACAGAGAGAGCAGATAGAAACATGAAAAAATAATAAAACACATTGAAATAAAAAGTATGAAAAGGTGTGTATATGTGTGTGTGTTTGTTTGTATGTGTGTGTGTATGTGTGTTTGTTTGTATGTGTGTGTGTGCACGCGCGTGTGCAAATAAGCAAGCAGCCCATCAAAAGTGCAAGTACATAGATATAAATCAATGTCTACTTTCCCTTCATTCCATATTCATGAATTTTAAATATTTAATCATTTTAATTATTCAAATTACACAACACGCACACATGGTATTTCATATTAAAAAAATGTGACAGACATATTATGAAGTTCAAAATATACAGCTAAAATGATGATCGTTGCTAGCTATAAAAATGATGTTGTTGTTTAATATTAGCATTATAAATTATCCTAAGACCTTGCTGTTGTCTTTAAATGGTGCTGGAAATAACGACGAATGCCATTGTATAACCTTGCTTTCCTTCTTTCTTTCCATGACGTGGAAATAGAAATTAAAAAAACTGAAAATGGTCGTGTAGGTATGCGTACACCTACCCTTATCAATTGAGATACGTATGCATTTATATGATTTATGTATGTCATTCACACACACACATATACCACACACACACACACACACACACACACACACACACACACACACACACACACACATATATATATATATATATATATATATATATATATATATAACCAAGCATGTACGCACAAAAACGCTACACACGGAGCAAGCGTAAGAACGCCATAAAATCTCATTACACGCACACGCACGTGACCTTCAACCTTTCAGACAAATCACATTGACTTTGAACTTTGAGACTAACCCTGCATCTATTGATGACCTGCTGTAGGGAATATTTGATGTTCTTCATGAAGGAGGTCTGTAGCTCCCGAAGCTGGTTCAAATCCTTCCTCAGCTCTCTGACACGCCTACTTAGGCAAGATATCTTGGAGGGGTTGATGGTTCTCAGTGAGCTCGATGAGGTAGTTCTTATTGATATGATGTTGTTGGTGGTGGTAGGTGTCGTCGCGATGGATGTGACCGGTGGCCTGTCGGTCGAACCTTGGTACGGTGGGGTGGTGGTGAATTGAGAGTCATTTATTTTTGAAAACACAAAAATTTTATAAAAATCATCCACATTAAAGTAACAATGAAAAATTGAAAGGATGAAAATAAATACATTATCATCATTAATCTTGCTATCTCATTTAACTTACTATCTGATATTTATTTGCAGAAATAAATTTTGCGCTATCAAGCTGTGTATAGGAAATAAAATGAAATGTAGATAGATAGGCAAAGAAATAAATGAACAAGATGTAGATGAGAAATGAAACACACTAAATACATGAATGTACACATTCAGGAAAGATGTTTGTTAAAGAAAGAAAATAGAAGAAACTAAGGTGTGATAAAACAGTTAAACACTCAAATGCAACATTAATAGAAACAAAAACACACGTGAAAATACAAATAAGAAGTACTCATTTAGAAAAAGAACACACACGTAAACACATTCACATACAAGTACGCATAAAAAACACATCAAACAGACAGGTAGACGAACGGACGGACAGACAGATAGACAGACAGACAATAAACAAACGACAAACACATAGAGACAAACAAACAAAAAACTGGAAGATATCTAGGAAGCAATAAAACAAAGTATGGAGCATCTAGGGGATGACTATGAGATGAGAAATCAATGATATTGACACTTGGGAGTGAGTTAACGTCACATTTCCTCAAATAGCACCTATCCAACATAACAGGCATGCATAATATTTTGCATTAAAATGACGCTTCAAATAGATCTTAAACGTTGTAATTTTTTACGCATAATAAAACATTTATACATAAATGCTATGTTGGAAGGATACCATAATGTAAACAATATTGTATAAATTCTACCCAATTGTAAAGCATTAACCAATTTAAAGTTTGTATTTTCAATTTTTCTTACTAGAATTTTCTAGAATTATTACCAAATGCAGGATGAATCTGGTAAATAGTTATACTCTCAAGAAATTTAACAATTTCCAGAAAATTCTAGTAATAAAAATTGAAAATACAAACTTTAGATTGATTAACGCCAAGAATTCAGTAGAATTCATACAATAGTGTATAAAACAAACCATTACAGTTGTTGTCGTTGTTGATGTTGTTGCAAAGCGAAACGGAAGAATTCAGTTGAGGAAAACTGGTCAACATTTGATTGTTGGTGATTGTTTGGACGAACGCAGCCAGACAGGCCAGCTGCTCTTCCACTCTTCTTAACTTCAACCTATTAGGGACGACGCATTTTAAACGTAATTATTTTTAACTAAATTATTTTATAAACAGAATAACAGTTAATTATTTTGTAATATAATTATTACATTTCTTTCTATAATAATTATGTTTGTTATCAATAAAATAAAATGGCAATACAGTGACAAAGATTTGCTTTCGTTTTATCACCACGAGTTGGAAGGGATGGATGTTTATTTAGGTCATTTTAATCATCAGCTTCTCCATCGTCACAACCATCACGATGTTCTCCTATACAACCACGTGATACATAAAATGCGACAGTTTTCAAAAAGGAAAGCATTGCTCCCTCCGAAAGAAAGCAATCGAATCGTAGATTTTATATGGAGAAAGTTTTTTCTTCAAAATTAGAGAAAATGAATTTAATATAAAATTCAAGTAAAGATAGAAACACACACGAATAAAAATAAATATATGACTTCGAAAAGAGAAATTTTATGATTTTAACAATAAAAATAGAGCAGCTATGAAAGTATCCAGTATATACTTTATCTTTCTCAATAGACGTATACACGCACACGCACGCACACGCACATTTTTACGAAAGATCTTATAAGATAAAGAACAATAAAGAATAACGAAAATTGAAAAAAGGAAGATGAGTTGCCTATGAAAACTCATCCAAAAATCCAAATAAAAAAACAATAAAACGAAAAGCGAGCAAATATATGAGCAACGTTAACAGCATTATAACCTGGAAACAGTTTCTAAATAACGAGCGGAGCAACAAACAATTATAACCACTATGCTGAAAAATTGCATGACATTTATAATAACCCCAAACCACAATGACAAAATAATTACATACTTACAGTAGCATATATAATAAATAGAGAAAAAATCCAGTGACAGCAACGACTGCAACAACCGCAAAAAATAACAATAATGAATAACGCGCAAACATCAGTAACGCAAAAATAAACAACGTTAGACGAAGTTTTATTAGCTATGTTGCTCCGCGTTATAGTGGCATCATGCAACCAATAAATCATTTCAAAAGACATCGCTGCAGACATGAGCACATGAGCGTGTCGCCAAACGTGCAGGAGCGCCTTTTTACGTACATATATATACGTACATATACTTTTTTTATTAGCGTTACTGGCGGGAGTTTTAAGCTACACACTCGCGCACACAAACACGAACAAGCAGAAGCGTGGATGGGTCTTTATATAAGTGCTACCTTTTGATGTTTCTCCTTTGTTTTAGAACGAATTCCTATTTCAAAGATGTGTAGATGTGAGTACACACTAAGCACACACACACACACACTTATATACACGCACACACACACACACATATATCAAATATAGCGTAAAGGAAAGGTAGGCTATGTATGTAGAGCTAAACCTATGACTTATATGAAAAAGTATTAGCACAAAGTATTAGCGGTCCCATTAATTCTTGGCCTTACGAAAGACAATGAATGAGTCAGTGATGAAGACGATCATGAAGGTTCGCAATGAAGAAACTGAGGAAAGATTGATGATGGAGAAACAACGATGATGCTGGTAATAACAATATGATAAAAGTGAAGAGGAAAATTACGAAAAATGATGATAAAAAATCTGATGAAATAATATTGAATGAATATGGCCGTGATGGCAATAATTTTAAGATGATGAGTGAAACTGATGAAAATAATGTTAATCCTTTGATGTTCAACATGATGATGACATCAAGTTAATAGTGAAGACGACGATAACGATGACAATGATGAGGACGACAATGCCAGAGTTCATTTGTTAAAGAGTTTGTATTAAAATTTAATTAAAATACAATATGTTAAATAATCTATTCTCTTCAGTAAGAACATTAAAAACAATAACAAAAATATACAATGAATAATAATAACAATAATACTAAACAATAATAAGTGTGTAACTTCAAAATCAGCTTCTTCCTTACAAAGACCATTTAACCTTCCACATAGGATGAATGATGGAGATGTAACACATTGATTATAGTTCAAACCCATCCCATCTCAAATTTCAATGAAATACACATCATTTACTTGTACCAGTTTCCTAAACACTCCAACTAATAACTCTCTTATTCATCTTTCTCCTCCTCATCATCGTCGTCATCATCGTCATCTTTGATCGCAATCATTATCGTAGCCGTGATCTTATTGGTCCCAATCGTCATCAGCATCATCGTCTTCATCATCATCATCACCATCATAATGGTCATCATCATCACCATCATAATGGTCATCATCATCACCATTATGCATGTGTACTAACTTCTCAGAATTATCATTCATAGGTGTAATTGTCCCAGAAGTGTTGGCCGAGTTATCGGTGTATGGATGAGGACGGCTGGGAAGATGTGGATACCGAAATACGTCACTCACATTACTAGTACTATTATTGTTATTGAAATTATTATTGCTGTTCTTATTACTAGCCACATTGCCGTTTTTGAAAAACGAGAGAGATGTTGACGATGAGGAAGAGTTGTCGTTGAGAGAGGCCGCTAAGTGAGAGTTCGTCGGCAGTCCATTGGCGAAGCACGGAACCGAGTGGCGTTGTATGCATGAGGAGGCTGACGACATTCCTCCAACATCTCCAGTGCCAACTCCTGAATGTTTGAAAATTTCCAAAAAACTAGCAGTGAATTTCACACACACATAAATGATAAAATGATACTTGGTTAAGAGCTCTGCGCTGGCTGCACTGTTACCAGGTTCAACCTCACAGTTTATCAAGAACAAACTAACCTCCGAATGTAATGCAACGAAGAATATTTTAAAAATTAAATGAATGATATTTATTAGAATTATCTTTTATACGAGTTCGGCAGAGAAGTTTATCATAATATAACTTTAAAAAACAAACACGAAAGATTTGTCAAAATTTGCCAATCATATTCTATGGAAAACTAATTAACAGTTTAAAATTAAATTCTAAATCCAAATTAATTATTATCAAACAAGTGGCTAATATATATTGACAGACACAGTACATGAAACCGTACACTTTTAGCTTTTGCTATTGTCTTGATATGATTAACACAAAGGTGAATAGTTCAATTGTTCATTAAATAATAATACATGAACAATAGTAACAAGAAAATTGGTAAGAAAAATAACTAAGAAGCCAAAAACTTACAAGCATAGTTAATTTGTAAAAATTCTAAAACCATGTCTAAGTTGAAGTAGTGAAAGATTTTAAGAGGGAGCAATAAGCAGCATCGAGCTAAGCTAAGACGGACTTGCTGAAAAACTATATTTCATTTGGTAAAACATATCATATCATATCATATCATATCGTATCGTATCGTGTCGTGTCGTATCCTATCATATCATATCATATCATATCATATCATATCATACCATACCATATCATATCATATCATACCATATCATGGTAATATCATATCAGCCAAATAAAAACATAGATATTTTTCTCATGGTGTTTTCAATACTTAACTTAGCATTTCAAATTTATTGTCAGCTAAGAACAAAAATTGTGATAACAACCATGTTAATAATAATACGAAAAACAATAGCAATGATGATAAATGTATTAAATTAAACCCGCGATCATATTCTGTTAAAAAATCTTAGACAACAGTTCAACTTTTTTTTGGCAAATTTTTTTCTAATTTCTTCTAATAAAGATCATCGTTTACGAACTCAAGAAATAATTTAAAACTCGACCATAACTTTAAATAAGTGAAGCGTTTATATTTAACAATATATTTATATTTATGGCGTCGAGGAGTATTTCGGTTTCATCATAGGTAGCCAAATGTCGTCTAAACGTGTGTTGTTGTTATATTTAACAAAAACATTATTAAAAACTATCTAAAAACACAAACCTTTAGCTAAACAGAAGTGGTGATCCGATGAATTTGGATGAAGTTGGTGCTGCTGGCACCGAACTGGAGGTCTCGACTGAAACATTGGGTTTAACATCTGTGAGAAATTTTCCAAAGTTAAATTGCCTTTATCCAGTCTTAATCGTCATCATCGTCGTCATCGTCATCGTCATCTTCAGCATGGGAACGTGTGCAGACGTGAACGCAAGGCAAGTGTGCATGTGATGTGGTGTTGCATATCACAGAACGAGAAATTGAAACAAAATGTTGAAGGAGGCAATAATTTTTTTAAAACGAAAATGGAAAAAATTGTAATCAATTTGAAAATTCAATAGCATTTTATCAAGTGCCTTATCATTGCAAGCCAGACGGGCAACACCTTCTAATGCCGCTTCTACAGTTACTATCGCTACTTACTACAACGGCTACTTACTACCATTACTACTGCTACCTACTACTACCGATACAACTCTTACTGCGCTTAATGTTATCTAAAAAAATGCAGCTGTTATGACTCTTCTACCACTACTTCCACTTTTAACAACCACAACAACAACCACAACAACAACAACAACAACAACCACAACAACAAAAGTTGTATATATGTAAATCCAAAATTGTTTACTTGATAAAAATGGAGAATGGAGAAAAAGTAATGGAGAAAAAGATGAACGTACAAAGATTGAATTGAGCTGCTAGGAGGGTAGAAAAACAACATCGCAACGAGGGGAGAAATTTTAAATTGCAAACGAAAAAAAAGCAAAATCACTCATGTGAATAAAATAAAGCGAGAAAACAAATCACGCATAAAGGGACGAAAAACGACAGAAAAATACGTACAAACAGATGAAGAGACAAACACAGAGCCACAAAGATACACATAAAGACACAAACACACACATACAGTCACACAGACATACACACACACACACACACACACACACACACACACACAGAAACACACTGAATGCATTGACGTTCGTGCATGGAAAGAAGTAAAGGAAGCAATTAATTGATAGGTCGTCTGATAAAAAGTAATTGAAATATAATTTAAAGCTAACAAAAAACAACATTATTTGGATCGATAAGCTCCTATGAGACAAAGTGCCATTGTGTTCATTATGGCTGAATCAATGGATAAGTGTAAATGAGTGAATGAATGAGTGGATGAATGAGTGAATGAATGATTGATTGAATTATAAAAAGAAATAAACTTAAAATGAATGAACGAATAGATAAACGAATAAATGATTTACATTTGAATTCATTCATTCATTCATAGATTCTTGGGTTGAGCGATATATGGTTCAGTTGTTTTCCTCTAGCTCCGAATTTCTTAATTTAATTTTTCCTTAATTAACAAATTTTCAAAATTTTATTTTTTTATTTTCTTTTATTAATATTATAACTTGCATACTTGCACGGAAGCACCAAAGGTACTGGTGGGCCAGTCAGGCTGGCGCCACGCTACAAAAGGGCCAGGGTGGTTACGTCGCCAACTATGATATCATCACCACCGAAGATGGACAGACCAATGTTTTTTATCATTGAACCGCTAACACTGGATAATGACCACGACTTCCGAAAAATGTCAATTTTCAAAATCTGTAAATTCTTCCAAACCACTCTAGGAGAATTGAATTTCATTAAAATTCAACCAAACAGAATCTTGATTAAGTTAAAAGAAGAAACTCAACGAGATAAATTATTAAAAATCAATTCTATCTTGAATGAAAAAGTTAAATATTATCCACACAAATCTTTGAATATAAGTGAAGGAGTTATCAGAACAACAATTTTTAAATACTGCTCTGAAAGTGAAATAAAGGAAGAATTAAAAAATCAAGGTGTGATAGATATTTACAACATAAAAATAACCAAAAATAATCAGAAAATTAACACAAACACCTTCATTCTAACATTCAATAGTCCCCAACTTCCAGAAGATTTAAAAGTTTGTTATCAATCAATCAAAATTGAGAAGTTTATACCCTCTCCAACACGATGTACAAAATGTCAAAAATACGGTCACCACCATAAGATTTGCAAGAGTAAAGATGTTATTTGCTCAAGGTGTGGAATTGTAGGACATAAGCACACATGGGAAATCCCATGTCAAAATACCCCAAAATGTTACCACTGTGGACGTAACCATGAAACCTTTTCTAAAGAATGTTCAAAATTCAAATTGGAAAAAGAAATATTAAAGACAAAAGCTGAAAATAATGTATCATATATCCAGGCGAGAAATCAGATATATCAGCAGAAAAAACCATTATATTCCCAAGTAATTACAAAAAAAGCGATGGTAAATAAAGAAACCCAATGCAATCTCATAAAAGATCCAACAAACTACTGCATGACATATTTAAAGAAAAAACCATCTAATATTGATAAATCTCATAAAGGAAGAAAGAAAAAATTGGAATCAGATCATGATGATGACGACAGGAGCAATACCAGTAAAAGTAACTATAATGGTAATAGTGTTAATAAAATTGGTAGTCATAATAATGGTAATGGTAATACAACAACAACAACAACACACGTTTAGACGGCATTTTCCCCGAGATCGGGGCTTGCCGTTTGGCTACCTATGATGAAACCGAAATACCCCTCGACTCCACCCACATCTGTCACTCGCCTCAGTATCACGCAACCCCGCTTTCACCCTGTCCTTCTCCACCTGCTCTCTCCATCCCAATCGCGGACGACCCCTTCCTACCACTCCTTCAACCTCGAACTCCAACGCTCGCCTAATCCCGACCCTTTCATCCCTTCTCAACACATGTCCATACCACCGCAATCTCGATCTCCTTATCAATGTCACAATGTCCTCATTCAGTCCCATCATTGACATCAGCTCTGTACTACTCCTCCCATCCTTCACTTTAACCCCACACATCATCCTCACCATAGCTCTTTCAGCCCTCTGCAGTACACTGTCCTCCTCTCTCCTCAACACCCAAGTTTCACCACCATATATCATCGCTGCTCTCACACATGCTTTATATACCCTCCCTTTCATCTTCACTGACCATTTCTTTCCACACAATACCCCAC